ACCTTAAGAGTTGAGTGCCAGGTGGTGTTGAGCATATATTTAACTTTATTAGAAAATCCCAAACTGTTTTCCAAAATAACTAGGCCTGGGCCAGGGATTTAGCTCAGTGGTGCTGCTGCGTGCCTCGAAAGTGCAAGGTCCTGAGTTCAAACCCCAGTTCCAAAAGAAAAAAAAAACAGCTAGGCTGTGTTTTATTTCAACCTGCATTGTATGAGAGTTTAGGTTTCTCACCATCGTTGTGAACACATCGTATCATCAGTATTCTGGAAAGGCTATTCTAGTGGACATACAGCAGTGTCCTGTGGGTTTAACTTGCATTTTCTTAATTGCTGTTCATGCCAGGCATCTTTTTAGATGCTTCCCTGTGATCCTTGTTTCTCCTTTGGTGGTGTGTCCAAACCATTGCCCATTGAAAGAAAATAGCTGTGCACCACGGTGTTCGATTGTCCAGCTACTTGGGAGGCTGAGGCAGGAGAACAGCCAGCCGTTTTGATGAAGATAAACTTTGATTCATACTTCTTACATAAAATTAACACCAAATAGGTTGGAGATCTAAATGTAAAATATGCAAATATTAAAAGAAAATATTGAAGGGCCAGGGATTTAGCTCAGTGGTGCCGCTGCTTGCCTTGCAAGCGCAAGGTCCCGAGTTCGATCCCCAGTACCAAAAAAAAAAAGGCACAATGAGAAAGGACAAACAGAAGAAATAAATATGGAGTAAACATATTTGCAACGTATATCACAGATAATGACTACAATCCCTAATAGATAAATAACTCAAAATCGAAGGGGAAAAAAGATCAAAAACCTAATTAGAAATAGTAAAACACAGTCACAATTTACACACATACACATGCGCATGACCTTTGGGCATATGAAAAATGTTCATTTCAGAATAAAAAATTCAAATTAAATCTACGCTAAGGTGTCACTTTTCACCTATGAGGGTAGCTGAAATTGAAAATTAGGACTGAACATTCAGTTTTGGGGGCTGTGGAAAATAATCGCTGTCTTATATTGGCGGTGGGAATCTAAATTGTTAAAGCTAATACGGTGGAGAGTTCGGCAATATCTAATAAAACTGTATGTGCTTGTCATTGTCGTCTTTTTGTGTATGTATGTATGTGTGTGTTTGTTTTCTCACTCATAATTCACATTTCCAGGTCTTATTCTTGCAGCTATATCTTTGTCGGTACACAGACCTGTTGCAGTATTGCTGTTTACATCGTTGTCTCTCTCCTCTGCCTGGTATTGGGAAGGGCCTCCTCCTCCTCCTGGCTGGCTTCCATGGCTCTGGCTGGGTCCGAAGGCGGGAGGAGGCCGAAGCCAGCAACCCCATCTGTGCTTGGGGGCGTGGAGGAGGGTCCGGCTCTGGAAGCTTCTCTCTGCTGCTTTTGCCGGCAGGCCAGTTTTGTTTTCAGCTTCCTCCCATAACTCCAGCCCTTAGTAGGAGTTGCTGCATGTCCCTTCATCCTTCCAGCCTTGGGGCTTTGGTGACTTCTTGCCCTACCCAGCTCAGATGAGTCCCACTGGTTCCTGTCAGGCCTCTCATTTCCCCTCCACCTGTTCACTCCAGCAGTGCCCTGTTTGAAATCCTCAAGTGCTCTCTGTGTTTCCTCCTGATGCTCTCACTGATTCAGAGCTCAAAACAATAACAGTAAAAATGTCCTATCTTTACATTCTTGTCAAGCTTTGTCATGTTTTGATATCTCACGTATTATACTTCGATAGAGAAGTCAAAATTCCTGTTGGGCATGAGAAAGTTAACATTTGTCGAATGGCTACTTCCAGGTTTTTCATGTTTTCCAGTGAAAATCACAGGGGGAACATGAAGGCCCAGAGAGGCGGAATAGCTTACCTGGGGCCTGTGAAGGCTGCTGCTGGATCACAGCATGTTCCACACCTAAAAACTGTCGTGTGTACAGGCAGCTGCTCCTGAGAGGGACCCTTTACCAAAGAGGGCTTTACGTGCAGGGTTTTCACAGAAGCCTTAGTCACTTCAGGAACATTTGTGACTAGAACTTGGAACCACAGTCAATTTCTGCTTGGCCCTCGTGTCACCTGCACAGCAGCCCTGGCATTGGCCATGTGAAGGTTTGCGTGAGGGCTGCTCTGGAGGACTTGGCACCTGAGACACGGCACGGTAGGAAAGAACTCAGTAACAGAATTGTTTCAGGAAGAATGTCTGGAAGGAAGAAAGATGGTGAGCACGTGTCACAGAAGAGTGGAATTTTCCAGGGTGCCAACCTTCTGCTGCCTGGGGGGTGGCAGAGGGGCAGTGCTGGAGCTGGGGACAGGAAAGAGGCCTCTTTTCCAACCACCTGGAAAGGGGTCACCTGTGTCCCCTCCTTGGCCACTGCCTGCTCTCTGTGCTTACAGGGGCTCCTCGGGCAGCACTGGAGATGCCTCCTGTGCTCTGACACAGACTGGAGGCTCCAGCCTCAGAGTACATGTCAGCAGTGTTGTGTGGATAGAGGGATTGCGGTGAGCGATGTTGGGGAATACTGGAGAGGCAGCTTTTACATTCACAGGTAAATGCGAACTAGCTTGAGCGTATGGAGACTCTAAGGGCTTCTAAGTTGTCCTCAATCCCCTCATCTTTGAGAACAACTAAATACTAATGGTAATAAACACAAGAGCAGTAACAGTAGCTGTAGTTTCTTTTGGGCTTCCTTGTAGCAGGTACTGTTTCCAGCCTCCTTCTGACCTTCCTGCTTAAATTAAGGTTAACCCCAGGCCCTGCACTCCATCCTCATGCCTGGCTTTGTCTTTCTCCCAAGTGTCCCTTAGTAGCACCTGTCAGCGTGCTGCCCTGTGAGCTCCCTGGAGGCCAGAGCACTTTGGCTCAGTTCTGAGTCCCCGGTGCCCACGATGGTGCCTGGCCTGTGGCAGGCACTCAGGAGTGCTGGTTGAATGAATGAGTCTTAACCTCACAGATGAGGAAACTGTATTTCCCAAGGTCCCATAGTTGATGTTAGGAGAATTATGGCAGAATGAAACGACGCTAAATTCTGGGCCTCCTTACAAAAGGAATATTTTTTTTCCTGTCCTTACCCAGGGAATACAAAAGAAGACTCATTTTTTGTAAGATTTTCATAAAAGGCGAGACCTGAAAGTTTACATTTTGGCAGATCACGGTGGTGCACACCTGTAACTGCAGCACTGGGAGGCTGAGGCAGGAGGATCACTGAGAGTTCCAGGCCAGCCTGGGTTACACAGTGAGTTCAAGGCCAGCCTGAACTCCATAGTGAGACCACTGCTCAGGAAGCTGCGTGCCCCAGAATTCTTTGTTACGGTGCACTTCTTTGTCACTTTACACATAGATGTCCATCTTTTTATTTATTTGTTTATTTACTTTTTAAGTACTGCCAAGTGAACCCAGGGCCTTTGCACTGAGCTACATTTGTAGCCATTTTTAATATTTATTTTTATTTAGAGACAGGGTCTCACTGAGTTGCTAAATTGCCCAGGCTGGGCTTGAATTAGTGATCCTTCTGCCTCAGCTTTCCAGAGTGCTGGGATTATAGGCATGTATCACCACACCTGGCTATTCACACATCTTTTTTTTTTTTTTTCAAAGGGGAAAAGGTTTATTTGGCTTACAGTTCATAGAGGTTTCAGTCCATAATTGGCTGGCTCCAAAGGAGGGCGGCAGAGGAGCAACAGTTCATGGCAGGCAGAAGACAGCAAAAGCAACAAGAGGATATTCACACATCTTTAATTTTAGTGATCTGTGTGGCTAGTAGGAAAAATTTAATTTTGGAAGTGGTTAGGCAGAATGAGAAAAAGGCTAAGACACAGAAGGAAGGAAACAAGACTAGAAGGGTGTTCTACTAAAAATATAGGTGACTGGAAGGTGAAAGGTCAGTTGGCTAAAAATGTATATTTTTTTCCTCCAGCGTACAGAATCATATCCATACATTGTGTCATAATTCCATTTTGCAAATGCACTGAAGGTTCCTACTCCTGGGAAGAGTGAGGAGCACTACTCCTAACTTTTGTGCTGGGGCAACATTACTCTGGGTCACAAGAAGCTTCTTTTTACTTCCTGTCAGATTATGGACATAGGGGTCTTAGGTTTGCTGTGGGCTGTTTCTTCTTAGGTTCTGGGACATCAAGAAATTGGTTACAAATCATTGCCCTTTCTTCCCTTGCTCTCTTTCTTTTACATTTTTTTTTTGTATCGCGGATCGAACTTGGGTCCTTATGCTTTGGCAGGTGGCAAAACCACTGAGCTAAATTCCCAGCCCTGAAGTTTCATTTTTATCTTTTCCAATCCTGTTCCTCCCTCTTCTTTCCTCAAGGTCTTTACTCCCTGAGGTGGACATGGTTCCTTCTCCTCCTTGGTACCATGGAATTTTACCTGTATCTTACATTTTTTTTTTTGTACCAGGATCAAACTCAGGACCTTGAGCTTTTGAGGCAGGCAGAGGAACCACTGAGCTAACTCCCCAGCTGTATCTTACATTTTTGCCTTTCAATAGGCAAGTGACTGATTGTACCATTGTTTCTCAGTACCATTCCATGTTCAGTGACGCTGATGGTTTTCATTCTTGCTTCTCATTCCTGGGCAAGTCCACGATGTTCCAATTTGAGCTAGTTCTAAAAATCGCGTTTGACTAATTACAGAATTTTTTGGTATTCTGATCTATCAGGTATACCATTAACTGTGCTAAACAGATTCAGTTAGAATGTTCCTGAAATTAATCAGCCAGTGAGAGGGAGGACAACAGACAAAGGATGATGCTGTATGTTTTTCAGGCCATGCTGTCAGCTGAGAAACTGACAGATAAGCCACAAAAACTCATGAGAAACAATCGCATCTATCGTGTAATAGACAAGCGTTTCTGTGTGTTTCTGATCCACTATAACCTTAGGGCTAACACCATGAAGAAGTTAACCTGAGGTTGCAGTAGGTTTAGGGTTAGACATGGGAACAGTGCTGAAGGAGAAAATCTTAACGCTGACCATGTTGCTTTTGTGTCAAATGAACTCCCCAGTTCCGGAGGAGCCCATCTTGGAGAAGCTGAACTGGCTGATCCATCTGCACTACATCCGGAAGGACTATGAGGCGTGCAAGGTGAGCAGCTGCTTGGGGCAGCAGAGGGCAGCTGGCGGCAGGCAGCTGACTGTGTCCCTACGTTGTTGTTTAACATACTGTGGCCAGCACTGCTGACCAATCACCTCAGCGCCGCTGTGGCCTCAGTAAGCAGACGTTGACTGATGTCCCTGGCCTCCATCAGGTGTGCTTGGCCAGGTCACACTGCACGCTGTGGGACAGGTCCCTGTGGACCCACGAGTTTTCTCACATCACACCCAGCCGTCGGGCAGCCATTCTTGTGGTCTTCTTGGTGTCCTGAGGGAGTCTGTGGTCGATTCAGTGTGTCACCAGGGTTTTTACACCTTTGGATAGATAGCTGTGGTATTTCTTCTTCTTCTTTTTTTTTTATACCAGGGATCGAACTTGGGTCCTTGCGCTTGCACAGCAGGTGGCAAAACCACTGAGCTAAATCCCTGGCCCAGCTATGGTATTTCATTGAGTTTTATTTTATAATTCTCTTATGGTGAGGTTCATTATCATTTGCATATATATGTATTTGAGGCAGGATCTCCTTATTCAGTTCAGCCTGGCTTTGAACTATGTAGCCCAGGGTAGCCTTGAACTCATTCTACCTCAGCCTCCTGAGTGCTGGAATGACAGGTGTGCACCTCCATGCCTGGCTATATTTGTTTATTTATTTTTTATTTTTTGGGGCCGGGGATTTAGCTCAGTGGTTTCGCTGCCTGTTGCGCAAGCACAAGGACCCGAGTTCGGTTCCTGGTACCTAAAAAAAAAAAAATAATAATATTTTTTATTTTTTGGTACCGGGGATCGAACTTGGGACCTTGCGCTTTCGAGGCAGGCGCTGGAACCACTGAGCTAAATCCCCAGCCCTATGTTTGTTTACTTTTGAGGCAGGGTCTCACTGTGTAGTCGAGGCTGGCCTTGAACTCATGGTAGTCCCCCTGCCTCAGTCTCCCGGGTAGCTGGGATTACAAGGTATGCACCACCACACCCTACATCATCTGTATGTTTAAAATTTTTTCCTTTTCACCGTTTATATATTTGGTAGCAGATGGTAGTACTATTAACATGAAAAATACATCCTTATTGTTGTATTTTTTTAGCATTCAGAGCTTTGTAATGCTTCTAAGGTTGTAACTTTTTGGTGGTACTGGTGATTGAAGCTAGGGCCTTGCACATGCTAAGCAAGTGCTCTCCCACTCACTGAGCTACGCTCCTGGGCCTTTTTTGTAAAAGTTTAGTTTGAGACAGGATCTTGCTACGTTGGTCAGGCTGGGCTTGAACTTATGATCTTCCTGAAGTTGCCTTTCAGGTAGCTGGGATTCCCTGTGTGTACCATCCTGCCTGATTTGGGTTGTGGCTTCTAATTTATTCCTGTGGTAGTACACAGAACTGATGACATTTAGCAGTGCCATTAGGAATCTTGTTTTTTTTTGTGGTACTGGGGATTGAACTCAGGTGCTTTGCATTGAGTTGCATCCTAGCCCTTTTTATCATTGTTGTTGTTGTTGTTATTATTATTATTATTATTTTGGTACTGGGGATTGAACTCCGGACCTTGTGCTTGCAAGGCAGGTAGTGGAACCACTGAGCTAAATCCCCGGCCCTTGTTGTTGTTTTTATTATTTTTGATTATTTGAGACAGGGTCTCACTATGTAGTTCAGGCTGGCCTTGACCTCACAAAGATCCTCCTGCCTCAGCCTACCAAAGTGCAGGGATTATGGGCCATGCACCCCACTAGTGCAGTATGAATCTTGCAAGGGTGTCTTTCTTTTCGTCCTACAGTAGTACCTGTTCTGTGTTTTCCTTTTGATCACTTGTTTCTTACTTGACTTTTCTTCCTCTCCTTATTTCTTAAGATTGGGCATGCCCTGGGGCTTGGGATTTAGCTCAGTGTTACCACGCCTGCCTCGAAAACGCCAGGCCCTGAGTTCAATCCCCAGTACCCCAAAACACAAAACAAAACAAAACAAAACAAAACAAAAAAACATTTTGGGCCGGGGATTTAGCTCAGTGGTTCCGGCGCCTGCCTTGCAAGCCCAAGGTCCCAAGTTCGATCCTGGGTACCAAAAAAAAAAAAGATTAGGCATGCCCTGAAGTCCTGCTTTTGACCCCTTTCTCTGCCCAGACAATACACTTCCTCCTGACCCCCAGACAGGCCTGTCTCTCGCCTACTGGATGCTGCTGTGGCATTTCAGACTCAGCTTTCTGTAGCTGACTTTATCTGCTCCCTTCCAAAGCCATTCCTTCTGGGTCCTGTCTCATTGTTCACCGAGCTGTGATTGTCACAGTCCCTGTGCCGTGTTTGCACACAGATGGCCACAGCCTTCCCCCACCATCTTTTGGTGTTTTCTGCTTTCTCCTCTTCCTGCCTTGATCCTCACTATTTTAACTTTTTTTTTTTTCTTATGGGGGATCGAACTCAGGACCTTGTACTTGTGAGGCAGGTGGCGGAACCACTGAGCCAAATCCCCAGCCCAATCCTCACTATTTTAAATGACGACAAGAATTTTTCCACCATTCTCGCCTTTAATCTTGTCCCTTTTCAACAATTTCTAAAAGTATTTTGTTTTTTATTTTTTACGCAGGGTCTTGCAATGTAGTTCAGGCTGGCCTTGAATTAACTATGTAGCTGAGGCTGGCCTTGAACTCCAGGCAATCCTCCTGACTCAGCCTCCGGAATGCTGGGATTACAGGCGTACATCACTATGCCTGGTTTGAAAATGGTTTTTTCTTTATAGCAAATAAGATTGGGTTTCTTCCTGCTTAAATTTTATCTGTGTTTTCCCCATTGTACTGAAGCTTTTAGAATGGCATTTAACATCCCTCTTGCTCAGAATCTCTTGGCTACCTTGGCTTCTTTTCTACTCTGTGCCAACTTAGATTTTGGAGCTGCTTCCTCTGGAGAGCCTTCCCCAGTTCTCCAGCAAGCAGCAGCCTGGGCTCAAGGTAGAAAGCCTGTGCTTTGCTCATCAGAGAACTTCTAGCATCTGTGATGGCTTGAAAATCTTCTCATGCTTTTCTAGCTTACCTGGTTAGACTTTTAGATAGGTGTTAGCAACGTTGTCTTCAATGTAAATAGTTTAAGCTTTATAAGCCACATACAGTATTTATTTGATAATCGTCTTTTTTTTTTAATGGTAGCATTTCCTATTAGAGATAGGAAAAGAAACAGGTTCTACAGAGTGAGTTTGGGGCAAGTAAAAGGAAAAGAAGTAAACCCTACAGCAGTGATGGCAAACCTTTTAGAGCTTTCAAAGATAACAGCCGGATGGGGCATTCATGTCATAGGTTTGCCACTACTGCCCTATAGCCTGAGGTGGGGTACCACGCAAGAAAGAAGACAGTGGCCCATAATCATCGTCTTTGTAACTTTTAAAAAATATAATCCTGGGCATGGTGACGTATGCCTGCAATCTCAGCACGTGGGAGGCTAAGGCAGGAGTGTTGGTAAGAGTTTGAGGCCAGACTGAATTACATAGTGAGACCCTGTTTCAAAAAAAAAAAAAGTATGCTTTTTTGTTTAGCTTGAGAGCTATAAAAAATGGCCTATGAGCCCGATAGTTTGTCAACCCTGTTTTTTTTTCCGTTCGTTTTTTCGTACCGGGGATCAAACTCAGGACCTGGTGCTTGGGAGGCAGGCATAGCACCACTAAGCTAAATCCCTGGCCCTATCAACTCTGTTTTATAATGAGTAATCCAAAACATAAATTGAGGTTTTGAAAAAATGAATGAACTGCTTTATTAGTCATTGTTAGTGTCCTAGGTTTCTCACATGTGCCCTCTGTCCACTCCCCCCCTCTACCGCCTGTACCAGGGCTTGAATTCAGGACCTTATTCTTTTGAGGCAGGCACCCCATGCCACTGAGCTAAATCTCCGGCCCTACTTCTTCCTTTTCTTATACTTAACCTTTACTCAGAGGTAATTTTTTCCCTCTTTCAGACTGTTATCAAAGAACAGCTTCAGGAGACTCAGGGGCTGTGTGAATATGCTATCTATGTCCAAGGTAAGACACATAATTCTTCTCTTCTATTTTCTTTTTTTTGTTACGGGGGATCGAACTTGGGTCCTTGTGCTTGAGCAGCAGGCGGCAAAACCACTGAGCTAAATCCCCAGCCCCATTTCTTCTCTTATTAGAGGATTCTTGGCCTAGGTTCTTGAAAAAGGCCAAACAACTTATGAAATACTTAAATTCAAGTAAATGCTCTACAAAGATCTATTCAGTATTTTTTGAAATCCGAGCGTGATATTTTTTTTTCTTTTTTTGCTGGATTTGATTTCAGAAATGACGAGTACCATTGTAGTCACTTTCCTTGTTACTGAGACACAGTGCCTGATACTCGCCACTTGAGGAGAGGTTTATTTGTCTCATGGTTTATAGAGGTCTCAGTCCATGGTTGGCTGGCTCCAAGGCAGGAAGGCATGGCACAGGGTGTGGTGGAGGAGAGCTGCTCACGGCATGGCGCACAGGAAGCAGAGAGAGAAGGGAGGGGCAGGGAGGAAGGTGTACTCTTCCAGGCCACGCCCTAGTAACTGCCTCTTCCAAGCAGGCCCCTCTGATAGCGAGTCAGCTATGAGCCCCATAACCCCTCACCTTCCAAGGGCCCAGCCTTGGAGCATGTGAGGCTCTTTGGGGACATCCAGATCTAAAGCATAACCAGTACTGTTTAAAAAACTGCTGTTTAGTTTCTGGCTAGGGATTTTCAGAATGGATACTTAGGGTTCCTACCTTATGTGGTGGTTTCAGTGCCAGAAGCTGCATTTGGAAGGGTCCTTTATAGTTCAGCTAAATGAGCTGAGACAAGGCTTAAGGATGTTTGGAGGCGAGTGAAGATGAAAAGAAGCACCCTAGCGATATATAGGATGATGCAGAGGATCCGTGGAACTCTTCAGAAATCAAATCTACAAACCATGGTCTTCAATTTTACTCTTTTGTTTTGGGACAGCGTCTTGCATTGTAGTCCAAGCTGGCCTTGAGGTCCTCCTGCCTCAGCTGCCCAGGTGCTAGGATTGCAGGCATGCGGCACCATGCCTGATTTAAATGTTATTTTTTAACGCCGGGGATTTAGCTCAGTGGTTCCGCCACCTGCCTCAAAAGCATAAGGTCCTGAGTTTGATCCCTGGCACCAAAAAAAAGAGATGAATGTTATTTTGTAATGCCAAAAGTAGCATATTAAATTTTTCCAGGAACTCTCTTTTTGACTCTCTGGTATTAATGAATAGTTTCGTTTACTATTTAATTGCATTTATAGTTTCTAGATTAATACATAATTGCCTTGCATAATTGGTATGATAGTGACACGTTTAGGACAACAAGGCAAAAACATTGCCCTTTTCTTTTGAACATCATAAGTTCCAGGCTTTCAGTACCTGATAAATTCTTTTGGAAATACAGGCCTAGGAAGATGTTTTGGTTTGGGTTGGTTGCTGTGCCAAGAACCAAAGCATGCCGTGCTATGTATTCCTCACCAGAAGCCCCTTGCTGGACCTATGACGTGGGTTCCCCTTGGCCCGCCCTGGGCTGCTGTCTTCAGACTATCAGGAAGTCTGAATTGCTGTAATGAATAAAGCACCGGAGAGGGAAGCCCCACATGCTCTTCCTGTGCAGAGTTCTGTGGTCATTTACCTGTGATCTCTGTGGCGAGGTGTGGGGAGGTTCCGGTCACTTCCTGAAAGGAGCTTAGCTTGTTTTAACGGCTTTGCTTGTTTTTTTTCACCTTGTCTGCAGCAGTATCTATGAAGACACAGTTGAAGCCAAATGATTTCGTCCATCCCTCTGATGCTACCCCATGGTTTCCTTGTCTCTATTTTCTTTTCTTGGCAGCACTGATACTCCGGCTGGAAGGAAACATCCAAGAATCCCTAGAGCTCTTTCAGACGTGTGCTATTCTCAGCCCTCAGAATGTGGACAACCTCAAGCAGGTCGCACGCTCACTGTGAGTGTTGTAGACTGAAGGCTGCAGGGTGTCACATGGCACGATGTACATGGTGTCCTCTGGGGCTGGGCAGCCGGGCAGCCTGACAGGCAGTGGGAAGGGCTTGCTGGGTACAGTGGGATTCATTCTGAAGAGTGTCAGCAGTCTTGATGTTTGAGAAAAACAAGGTGAACCAGTATTTCAAACACTGTATATTCCAGTTGGATTGAAGAGCACTGATCTGGGTTAGCAGTGTCATCTTGTGCTTTAAGTCTTCTTATTGGCATCCCACAGAATTTTCCTCATCTGCCATTCTGACACTTACCATGACACCTGACACAGTAGGGTTTTTAGTGAGTGTTGAGTGACTGCCCTGAAGGTTCCTACTCTAGTCTTCGTGAGCTACTAAGTACATTCCCTTTCCAGACGGGGGAGTGGCTTGGGGGTCCTGTCTCCATTTTCCTCCCTGCATTGTCATTCACTTTTGTGTTGTGTTGTGGTTGTTCTGGATTGTGTTTACCTCCAGCCAGTCCTCCCTGGATTCCCTCCAAAGTCCTGATCCGGTATCAGGGGAAGAAGGGACTTGGGAGGAATGCCAGGCCCCTGGTGGGTGCTGGTAAATGATGGCAGCTGTTTCCATGGTCTCTCACTCAACTGGTTCCATTTTGGGTATTTATAGCACATCAGGAAAATTCCAGGAGCCATGTGCTGAAACCTATGTGTCATGGGACAGAGGCCTGGGAGCAGCTGCTGTGGCCAAACTTTTGCCTCTGCCTCTGCCTGTGGTGGAGTGGCTCCGGCTTCCTGCATGGTAGCTCCTAGGAAAAGGCCTCAAGGGCTGGGGATTTAGCTCAGTGGCACCATGCGTGCCTCGCAAGTGCAAGGTCCCGAGTTCGATCCCCAGTACCAAAAAAAAAAAGCCTCGAGAATTCCTCACTGTGTGGGAAGATAGGAAAATGTGGGCTGGTAGAGTTAGTTGTGTAAGAACATTGAGACTGCCAGGCGTGGTGGCACATGCCTGTAATCCCAGCACTTGGGAGGCTGAGACAGGAGGATTGCCTTGGCATTGAGGCCAGCTGGATCTACATAGTGAGTTCAAGGCCAGCCTAAACTACAGAGTGGGACCCTGTCTCCAAAAAAAAATAAAAAATGTTGAGATACTAATTATGGAAAATGTGTCTTTCAGATTTCTTTTGGGAAAACATAAGGCTGCCATCGAAGTATACAATGAAGCGGCTAGACTCAACCAGAAAGACTGGGTGAGTAGGAGACTTTCCTCCCATCTTTTTTTTTTTTTTTTTGGTATTGGGGATTGAACTCAGGACTTTGTGCTTGTGAGGCAGGCTGTGAGGCAGGGGTGGCATCACTGAGCTAAATCCCTTGGCCTCCTTCTGTCTTTTAGGAAGCATGTTAATGGTTCAAAGAGCGATCCTGTTATTACAGAATCCTAGTGTGCCAAAATATTTTTATTTTCAAACTTTTTAACCGCTAAAGTTCCAGACCATCATCAATAGGTGTCTTAGTTTATTTTCCCCCCAATATGCTTGACATTGTTGGGTATTTCACTCTTAAAACTCCACCTTTCTTTGAGTGAGAATTTTCCTGGAGTAATTTTCTCTCTCTCTCTTTTTTTTTTTTTTTGTTGGTACCGGGGATTGAACTTGGGTCCTTGAGCCTGCAAAGCAGGTGCCAGAACCACTGACCTAAATCCCCAGCCCCCTGAAGTAATTTTTTGATGCCCCCCCATTGTCTCAGGGTGGTATTTGTTTGTTCATTCATTCACTCATTCATTCTTCTGTCTGAGCCTCCCAAGAGCTGGGACACAGGCATGTGTCACCATGTCTGGTTTTCACTGTCTCTTTATATCAGTTGGAGAGTGTGTGTAATTGCAACAGATAATTGCTTAGTTGTACGTTGGCTTTACAAGTTAGGGGTTTATTGTTTTCCTGCATGAAACAAAAAAGTCCTGCTAAGTAGTTTCTGGGATTGACTTGGTTTTCCTAGAATGTGAAGGCAGAGGCTTTTTCCTCATGGTTACAAGATGACTGCTGCAGGTCTAACAACACATCTGTGTTCTTAAGGAGAAAGAGGAAGCAACAAGGAAAAAAAGGGACACTACCTACATTAGGAAAGCACAGGTTTCCTAGACGTTTCCAGCAGACTGCCACTTAGATCAGCTGCTTCTCTGTAAGGAAGCCTGGAAAACACAGATTTTTTTTTTTTTGGTACTGGGGATCAAACTCAGAACCTTACGCTTGTGAGGCAGGCGGCAGAACCACTGAGCTAAATCCCCAGCCCAGGAAAACACAGATTTTAATCTGGGCTCATTGCCACTTATGACAGAATTAGGGTTCTGTTAGCAAGAGAGGCAAGTGGCATTAGGTGAGTAACTAGCAGTGTCTGCTGTACTCTTTTCTACTTTCTATTAGATGTGATAGACTAGATTCTGTATCTATTCCCCATCTCTCAAAACTAAGTTGATTTTTTTTTTGGTACCGGAGATCAAACTCAGGACCTTGCACTTGCAAGGCAGGCGCCGTACCACTGAGCTAAATTCCTGGCCCTTGTTTGTTTTTTTGAGACAGGATCTTGCTGTGTAGTCCAGGCTGGACTTGAACTCATGATAATTCTCCTGCCCCAGTCTCCTGAGTGCATAACTCATTTTCTGTTTTTATTTATTTATTTTTTGGTACCAGGGATTCAACTCCGGACCTTACGCTTGTGAGGCAGGTGGCGGAACCACTGAGCTAAATCCCTGGCTCCTCTTTTTATTTTTTGAGACAAGGTCTTGCTGTGTAGTCCAGTCCCTCTCCAGCTTTCCTCATCTGCTATTCTCACATGTAGCAAAATAGTTGTCACACAGTTATGTTTTTGACTTTTGTTGAGTAAGAATGCCCTCAAGGTTCCTAAATGGACGCCACCTCCAGAGTCTTAGCGTCACTTCTTCAAGTTGATTCTTTAAGTTCTGTTCTGCTTCCCAGAACTCTTTCTCTTTCTCTCTTCATTTCTTTTCTTTTTCGGCACTAGGGATTGAACTTAGCGCACCAGCCATGCTAGGCATACACTCTCACAAGCTGCATCTCTAGCCCTTTTATTATCTTGTATTTTGAGTCAGGCTCTTCCTAAGTTGCCTTGCCTGGCCTTGAACTTGTGATCCTCCCTCAGCCTTCTAAGTAGCTGGGATCACAGTTGCCTGGTGTCAGTTTTTCTTTTCCACGCTGTTGGGGTTTTTTTTTTTGAACATTTGAGGGTTCTTGGGGAGCATTCATATCTGAGAGGAGGACCAGATTGATTCACGTCCTCTGTGGTTTTTGAGGCTGTTACTTCCAGTGTGTGCTGAGTGTGTCCGTGCCGTGCCTGCTGCAGGAGTGAAGAGGAGCTGTCCGAGTCCTTAGGCTGTGGAGTGTTACAGCTAACAGCGCAAGTGGAGCTACAGATAGAGACGAATTAGAGCTGGGCTGGGGGTACAGCTCGGGAACGGCCTTGGGGTCTGTGCCCAGCACACACACCCCCACACACCCCCACACCCACAAAACAAGAAAAGGTAAAATTCAGTGACTGTCATTCAGTCGTCATTTCCACAGTGACTGTGCGCCATGCACTGGACCTGAGTTGTACTCTGGAGGCCGCTCTGTGTGGTGTGGGCTTAGCACCTGGAAGGGGAGAGATGGGGGAGAGGAGCAAGCTCTGAGAGTGGCGATGCTGACCAGGGAGCTTGTGGGTTGGGGAGGACACAGCAATTGTAGCGTGTCCCGTGCACAGAGAGATCGGAGGCTCCAGTGCTGTGGGCCCAAGATTTCCCTTTTGAAGTCAGCATCGTGAAGGTGGCAGCCGGAACTGGAAGGCTGGATAGCATGACTGAGCTGAGGGTGAGACCCTGGAGCGGGGATGAGCCCTGAAGAGCCCAGCAGCAGAGACCCAGGGTGGTGAGGACTCCCGTGGGCTTTGCGGAGACGCAGCTCACCTGCTCACACGTCTGGCTTCTGCTGTCTCCGCCCTGTGAGCCTCGGGAGCACCTGTGGTGAGCTCAGCCCACTCCTGGGACTCTTCATGGTCAGTAGCTGCTGCAGCAGGGACCTGCGAATTCTGCCTGCCCTTACTTGGCTTTCACAACAACTCTGTAAGGAAGGAGCATTTCCACCTGTGACAAGCCCGGAAGCTGAGGCTTGGGAGATGAAGAACTTGGCGATGGCAGGCCAGAGCCGGAAGCCAGCCTTGAATGTAGGCTTGCTCACTTGAGCCTGCGATCTTGCCACTGCTGCCTGTGCTGTCAGCTTAAGGCATACTGCTGCAGCCTTCTCAAGTCCTGTCTGCTGTAAATGATTCAAAATGGACAGTTGGGGGCTGGGGATTTAGCCCAGTGGTTCCATGGCCTGCCTCGAAAGCGCAAGGTCCCGAGTTTGATCCCCAGTACCAAAAAAAAAAGGACAGTCGGAAAAGGAGAAAGGCTGAGTTCCTCACGTCTCCATGTCAGTTCTTACTGCATAGTGAAGCAAGAAGTGCATGTTTCCGGGGAGGCCATACTTAAGGTCCCTGTGCTTTTTTTTTTTTTTTTTTGGTACCAGGGATCAAACTCGGGTCCTTGGGCTTGCAAGGCAGGCGGCAGAACCACTGAGCTAAATCCCCGGCCCCCTGTACTTTGTCATATGGAGATGATTTGAACTGAAATTTAAGAGAAGTAATTTTTATTCATTTTTTATTTTTGATTTTTTTTTTGTTTTGAGACAGGGTCTTACTATGTAGTTCAGGCTGGCCTTGAACTCTGGGTGATCTTCCTGCCTCAGCCTCCTGAGTGCTGGGATTACAGGTGTGTGCCACCATGCCCTGTAATAAAAGTAATTTTTAAACCTGTGAGATGTTTATTTAACAGTTGGAACATCTGAACATAAATACTGTGATATAAAGCAATTACTAATCTTTGCAGGTGTGATAATGGTATTGTAGGTAGGTTTTTTTTAAAAGACTCTGTGACGCTGAGGCAGGAGCACAAGTTTCAGCCCAGATCAGACAACTTAGTGAGACATTATCCTAAAGGCTGGTGACAGGAACGTAGCTCAGTGTGAAGGCACTGAGTTCAGTCCTCAGTGTCACACACACAAAAAAACAGTAGTAGATGGAGTGAATCGTTGAGACAGGAGGATGAGTTCATGGTGATCCCACCTTTGCACATGGTTAGAATATAAAACTAAACAAAGGCCAAAAATTCCAGTGCTGACACTTTCTGTGTTAAGCAGATAACCTCTCTGAGCTGTCCTTTTCTGTAAGACTGGAACAGTTATGGCTATGTCAGAGATTTGTTAGAAAAAATGAGAGCGATACATATGAAAACACCTGGCACAGCTGTTTAGAACAGGTGTGGCGTCAGTGGTCGGTGTTTTGTCCTTATTTTAGGAGACTTGGAAAACTGAACTGGTTGTCTCTGGGCCCTGGGACTGAGTTCTGGGACAGGGACACATCCCCATCTCTACAGGGTCAGCCTGTTCTCCAGGAGCACTGTCCCCACCTGCCCTCTCCTCCTCTAATGCTGTCTTCTGTTAAGGGATTCGAGGGACTCTGCACATGTAGGGTCAGGGGACAGACACTGCTTTTGCAGGGAACTAGAACTGAAAAGCTGTCAGCAGCCAAGGTAGTTATTCCGCCATGTTTGCTTATCTTTTCTTTCTGTAGATCAGAGCTTGACAAACTTTTATTTTTTCTTTAAAGAACCAGAGGGCTGGAGATTTAGCTCAGTGGCATCGCGCCTGCCTCGAAAGCACAAGGTCCTGAGTTTGATCCCCAGTACCCCACCCCCCAAAATTCCTTGTAATCTTTAAAGAGCCAAAAAGTATTTTGAGCTTTGCTGCTTCCTACAGACTGTTGGAGTTCCTTAAGTCTGCAGTTGGAGTGTCAAAGAGCCACATGAAAACAAGTGATCATGACTGAGTTTCAATGAAAGTTCACAGAAAAGGGCAGAGAATGGGTTCGTCACTGGGCCAGTTTCCTGACCGCCGCTCCCTTCTGTGGGTGGCCTCCAGTGACATATGACCCATCAGAGCACCACCAGATGGCGCTGTCAGTCTCCAAGTCCACATCACCGTGTGAATTTTTTGCTCCAGTCCAATTCCAGGGGCCTGGGAGAGAACTGATTGCGCATGTCCCGAGCGAGACAGGCAGACAAATTTCCTTAAGGTTGAAGCAGGGGCTGTGGATTGTGTCTTGTGAGAAAGAGGGCACAAAGGATGTCGGTGGGGGCCAGCTTTTGGAGAGATGAGGGTCGGGAGATAGGCTGGATGTGCACTCCCCGGGAGCCAGAGGAGGAAGGTCGTCTGTTTAGTCTGCTGTTTTCTCTCATCTATAATCTAAAAATATATATTAAAATATATATTAAAAATATATATACATTTTATCCAATTACATATAGCTGGTTGTAAACTTGAGTTACGAAAAACTCAGCTACAGTGCATGTTTAAAAGTTCGCCCTTTGCCCGGCAGTAACAGCCTCTGATGCCTGTGGTCCGAGCTTCCCGCGGAGTTGCACCTAAGCTGTTGCCTTTGTTCTGCCGTAGGAGATCTGCCATAACCTAGGAGTGTGCTACATGTACCTGAAGCAGTTCAGCAAGGTAAGCAGGTGACAGCAGAGGGGATTTCTCTGAGGACGCCCAGTTACAGAGACAGAGGTGTGCTGTGCATTTTGTATTCTCCTAGTGCTTGGAGAGCTTTTTGGAAGTGAAAAATTAAAAATGGGGCCAGGGATTTAGCTCAGTGGTTTCGCCTCCTGCTGCGCAAGCACAAGGACCTGAGTTTGATCCCCGGTACCAAAAAAAAAAATTTTAAATGCCTTCTATTTCTGTTGCCATTTTTCCCTTTTTCTTTTGCAGTGCAAAGGATTGAACCTAGGGATTGCATCTGCTAAGGTGCTTTGCCATTGGGCTATACCCCCAGGAACCCCTCACCGCTTTAGATTTTTTTCTTTTTTGAGATATGGTTTCACTAAGTTGCCCAGGCTGTTATTAAACTTGTAACCCTCCTGCCTCAGCCTCCCAAGTAGCTGGGGCTACAGGTGTGTACTACCACACCTGGTCATTTAGCCTCATTTTAATTCTTAGTTGCCATTGCTTATCTTTTTCCCCCCTTGTTTCTGACACCAAAATGGAAAATTTTAGAAATATTATGACAGTCCAGTTGCTTTCTTTCTCTCTTTTTTTTTTTTTGGTACCGGGGATCGGACTCATCCTTGCACTTGCACAGCAGGCAGCAAAACCACTGAGCTAAATCCCCGGCCTCTATTTTTCTTTACTATAGTTTAAGTTTCCAACCTAGAATCAAATGTTCAATAAGAAAAGTATCGGAAAGTGGACCCTTAAATCTACAGAAGCTTTTTTTTTGGTACTGGGATTCAACTCGGGACCTTGCACTAGCCAAGCAATTGGCGGCACCACTGAGCTAAATCCCTGGCCCTGGATCCTTAATCTAAAAGGTAACTATATGAGATATGCAATGAAAACACAGTTTTGCTTTTTTTTTTGTACCAGGGATCGAACTCAGGACCTTGTGGTTGTGAGGCAGGCATGGTGCCACTGAACTAAATCCCCAGCCCTCACAGTTTCTATATTTTATGAAAAAAACCCCAATTTCATAACCAAATAAGAGAACAACAATAGTTAATACACTATGTATCATTTATCTTTGAGTGTAATACATAGACCAAAAAGATTCTTAGAAATAAGAATTTCTTTACAATGAACTAAGATAAACTAGTAGTATAAATGAAACAAATTAACATATTTTAAGATATGTTTGAAACAGTGGAATATGTAATTTGGGGAATTATTTGAAGCTCTGTCTTTTGCGCTTTGTGTGTCTATATGTATATTTTGTGTTTTTCATATAAGAGAAATCATGCATTATTTAAGCTTATATATCTGATTTCACTTAACATGTTCTCAGGTTGTAGCCATTTACCTATGAATTTGTTTATTTTCATGACACCATAGTACTCCACTGTGTTTAAATACCACATTTTCCTTATTCATTCACCTGTTGATGGGCATATATGCTGTTTCCAAGATCTAGCTATTATAAATTGTGGTGCCATAAACATTGATATGCATGTTTCCCTGGAATGCAATAATTTTAACTCTTTGGGAAGATATCTGGAAAGGGGATATCTGGAATTTCTATTTTTTGCTTTTTTTGTTTGTTTTTTACTGGTACCTGAGATTGAACTTAGGACCTTGAGCTTGCAAAGCAGGTGTGGCGCCACTGAGTTAAATCCCTGGCCCTATATTTTGCTTTTTGAGGACTCTCCTTACTGATTTCTATAGTGGCTGTACTAGTTCATATTCCTACCAACAGTGTAGAAGGGTTCTTTTTTCCCCACATCCTTGCCAGCATTTCTTATTAGAATTTTTGATGATAGCCATTTTTTCTGGGGTAAGATGGAATCTCAGGGTAGGTTTAATTTGGCTGGCCAGTGATGATGAGCATTTCTTTATGCGTTTATTGGCCATTTGTATTTCTTCAGAAAAATGTATTCATTTCAGTTGCCTGTTTTTGATTGGGTCTTTTTTTTTTTTTTTGGTACCTGGGATTGAATGCGGGACCTTACATTTGCAAGGCAGGTAGCAGAATCACTGAGCTAAATTCCTGGCCCAAATTGGGTCTTTTATTTGGGGGGAAGGGTCTAATTTTTTCGAGTTCATTATATATTTTAGATAATAGTCCTCTGTCTGAGAAGTGACTGGCAACAATTTTTTCCCACTATGTAAGTTGTCCCTTCACTCTGGTGGCTGTTTCCTTTGCTGTGCCTGAGCTTTATAATTTGATATCCCATTTGTTGATTCTTGGTATTTTTTCTTGTGCCACGGGGTTCTGTTGAGAAAGTCCTTGCCTACACCTGTGTCTTCAAGAGTTGGCTCCGGAGGCAGACAGCCCACACTGCTGGCTATGAGTTGTCTTGGCGTTGGGCACTGGTGCGCTTTGCTGAACCCAGGGTCCTGCACCGGTGCAGCAGCGCTCCATGGAAAGCCGTCGTCCTTCCAGGCTAGTGGCTTGGTTCCCTTTCCTCTGTCACACTTGTCAGGCACAGGACCAGCTGCACAGTGCTCTCCAGCTGAATAGGCATGACCTGACCTACATCATCCTGGGGAAGATTCACCTGCTAGAGGGCAACGTGGACAAGGCCATCGAAATCTACAGGAAAGCAGTCGAGTGAGTGTCTGTTCCCTTGTTTAGAGCAATGAAAAACAACACTCTCAACCTAAGAGAAAACACATGTGAGTGATTAGAAGTACGAGTGAGATGAAAGGTAAGGTTTAGGTTACAGTCTCCCGTGAACGGAGTCAGGAAGGGGGACTTGCTTCTTTCTCTCCTGTGACACATGGCTGCTAGTGATTCGGTACAGTACTGCCGTATCCATGCTCCGGTTGAGGGTGAGGGTGCCGGGGCTAACTAGGGAATACTCATCTGGAAGCGAGTTGTAGATGATACACACACGGCTCCCGCTCACATTCCTTGCTTCAGATTAGTTAGGGGACAGCACGTAGTGGCAAGAGAAGAGGGCAGACCTGTACTGGGTATGATCTGGGGGCAGCTGGCCGTGCCAGGCTGGTTTCATACTGAGAACAGATCTCGTATTTGCAGAGATCCTATCAGGGGCAGAACTCTCCTGCCTCAGCAGTGTGCATGTGGCCGCATCAGATTGAGACCAGTGCCTTGGTGGTTTGGGTGCTGGGGCTTGAACTCAGGGCCTTGCACATGCTAAGCACACTCTGCCGCTGACATATGCCTCCAGCCCCAATGTTTTTTTTCTTTGTCTCTTTTAAAATTTTTCAGTACTGGGAATCGAACCTAGGATAGTCACACTGAACTATGTCCCTATCCCTTTTAAAAAATTTTTTAAATTTGGGAGTCTCATTGTGTCACTAAAGTGTCCATCCTGGGTTTCAACTTGGCAGTCCTCCTGCTTCAGCATCCCAGAGTGCTGGGATTACAGACACGCACCATTATACCAGTACAATATTTTCTTTTTGAAAACATTGCGAGGGTAGTGCAGACCCCTGCTGCCAGTGGAACTGACTGTTTTCTTGCAGTAGAGTACAGGTTTCCTCCCTGGGGACACACGCAGTCCTGTCTGCTCTATAAGGTGTTGTCTCTTAAGCAGGGCAGCTGTAACAGGATGTTCTCAGTCTATTTGTTAGGTCACTTTATAAGATGGCTGGTCTGTAGTTCAGGGTCTATTATTCCTGAAAATTAGATTCTGAACTAAGCTTAGATTTTTTTTTTTGGTACCAGGGATCAAAGCCCTTTCAAGGCAGGTGCAGTGCCACTGAGCTACATCCCCAGCAAGCTTAGATTTGTATTAATTTATTAATTACCTCTGTTTTCTACCATGGCAGTAAATTTTCTGATTGTATCAATCACCACACTGCTTTCTGCATTTTCTTCAATTATACTTTGTATTTCATCTTTTTTTTTGGTAGTGGGGATAGAACTCATGACCTTGTGCTTATGAGGCAGGCGCAGTGCCACTGAGCTAAATCCCCAGCCCCCAATTATACTTTGTATCTAAAAAATCAGAAAAACCCTTTGGTTTGCTAAACTACCAAAGAGACCTTTTGGCTAGGTGTGGTGATGTGTGCCTGTGATCCCAGCACTGGGAAGCTGAGGCAAGAGAATCACTGTGAGTTTGAGGCCAGCCTGAACTACAAAGTGAGACCCTGTCTCTAAAAACAAAACACACAAAAAGCTTTAGTTGTCCAAGTCTAAGTTTACCTGGACAAGCAGGGAGGAGCCATATACGTGGTTAGGGACCTCTGCAGTGCTGGTAGCTCGGATTCTCAGTGCTGCCTTCTGGATGTTGGCGCTTTGAGGTAAGCTCACATCGACCCCAAGGTGGACATTTGTCCCTGACTGCTCAAGGGAGCCTAGGTGACAGCCAAGGTTGTGGAGGGAGACGTCCATCTGGTGACAGATGCTGCTGCGGGCTGGAAGTGATGGACATGGACATCACACCGGCAGGAGGTGAAAGGCAGACTCTTGGCCGCCCCGGGAAGGCTTTGCTTGGCCAGCTCAGGCAGCTCTGGCTCTGGGTCGCTTACTGGCACTCTGTGTCTCCTGAGGGGCAGGAGGTCATGCTGCATGCTCTTGGCGTTCTGTTTGATGACCCCTCAGCCTCCCCCAGCGATGCTGTGGCTTTTGACCAAGACCTGTATCATGGGGGTTGAGAGGGAATGATGTTTTCTTAAAGCTGCTGTTTACTCCCGAGGGCCACTTTGTTCCTGTGGCTGGTGTGTGTAGCTTGGCTGTTGAGCATGACGCTTGTTTAATTTGGAGAGTGCAGCATCAGGGGCCTTGCAGTCCTAAATTACACAGAAAATTATGCTGCGTGGCACTGTGAGCAGTGAAAACAGAAAAAGGAACCCCACAGGGAGACTAGCTTAAGCCATGTGTTCCAGGCGCACTTGGTTGTAAAGTTTTGTTCTTCATCAGCATAATCAAGGCAGTCACACAGCACATTCCACAGGTTCGTTCTTAGGGTCTTGGCGCCCTGAGAAAGGAATTTAGATTGTAAGTCCCTTTTTTTTTTCTTTTGAGCAAACCTTTCTGTAGCCAGGGTTTAGGTGAACTACTTTTAAAATTTGCAGTACTAGGGATTGAACCCAAGGCCTTTGCACTGAGCTACACGACATGCCCAGCCATAAAAAAAAATTAAAAAAAAAAAAATTTCTAGACAAGCGTCTCGCTAAGTTGCATAGGCTGGGCTTGAACTTGTGATTCTTCTGGCTCAGCCTCCCAGAGGCTGGGTTTAGATGTGTGTGTCATCACAGCCTACTTTTGCAGGAATTTCCTTGGGCGCAGGAGGCACAGCAGTGCCTAAGCGTTGCGTGAGAGCCGCTGGCCCCATGTGTGTGTCTCACCATCATCTCCCTCTGAGCGTCTCTGTGTTGCAGGTTCTCACCAGAAAACCCGGAGCTGCTCACAACACTGGGGCTACTCTACTTACAGGTATGGACACCCTTTCTCCATGCACGGGTGTGGGAATGCTCGTGGATTCCTTTGCACCTGGCTATTTTAATGTATTTTACTAGTGGTCACGGAGCACATGAATCTTTCTGTGTTTGAGAGTCTTTGCTAAAGGAGTTCACTTGCTTCACTTACACCAGAAAAAAATCTTGTTATAGCCTTTGTGCAACTATGATCCGTATTCAACAGGAAGGGGTATGAGAGAATGCCTCTGGTCTTGGGGCAGCACTGTAAGTGAGTACTCACTGGGCCTCGGGCAAAGGCTGTTTCTGCCTTCCCTCCATCCAGGTCTTACAGGAAACCAAGACAGCAAAGCACACTTTGCTCACAGTGAAAGACCTCTGCTTCTCTGTGCAGTCCTGAGAGCAGATGGTTCTTTTAGCTCCATTGCTTCTCTACCTCAGCCTGGGACCTGGGGCTGCAGTCCTCAAGCAAACCTGCCCTGCCTATCCATTTCCCCATTGGACTGATTTTCCTCCAGGTTGGCTGGCTGGTAGCCCTGATGTCTGTCTCAGTCCTCTTTAAGAGGAGCCGGGAGCTTAGCCCTGGGTCCCTGGCTTGGGCCTTGAGACTGGCCAGCTCATGTCCAGCCGAGGGGCATTAATGTGGAACAGCACAAAAGTGGCAGAAATGGTTTTGGCGAATAGCTGCTTGGCCCTTCTGAGGAGACAACAAAATAAGAAAACCAAAACTATGGGGACTTCTGTTTTCTTTAAATGAGCAGGCCTTTCTGTTCAGGATGCAGCTGGCCATCTCCTGCTTCATGTAAATTCTCTGCTTTTTCCCAAGCTTGGCATTTACCAAAAGGCATTTGAACATCTTGGAAATGCACTGACGTATGACCCCACCAACTACAAGGTATGGCAGGCCGGAAGTTCAGAGGCGACCTGACCCTGAAAGAGGGGAGCTTCCTCATGGGGAAACCTGAGAAATGGATTACTATTTGTGTCACTTGCAGCACTGGGATCAAACTTAGCACCTGGCCCCTGCTAGGCAAGTGGTCTACCACTCAGCTGTAACTCAGCCTGAGAAGTTAACTTTTTAAAAGAAAAACTAATTCCAACGCGGCTCTTCCTAGTTGAAAATATTATAAATTGTGGTGCCTTGTTTGGTGTCATCCAAGAACACCTGTTTTAACAAGGCTGCGAACTCCGAATCAAGCTTAATCACAGAGCTGTGTCGAGATGTTACTTGGGAAATTGGCGGGGCCTCTGCAGCTTGCAGCTTGTCAGAACTGACCGGTGAGAGCCGGGCGTGGTGGCTCACGCTTGTAATCCCAGCACTTGGGAGGCTGAGGCAGGAGGATCACTGAGAGTTCCAGGCCAGCCTGAACTATAAAGGGAGCCTCTGCCTCAAAAAACCAAAAAAAAAAAGAAAAGAGAAAGAACTGACCAGTAAGATGACCTATAGAGGAGCCCCAGTGAGTGGAGTCGACAGCTTCTGTGAGATGTGAGCAGGGAGAAGGCACAGCCTCCGGGGATGAATGGCTGAGGAGGTGCAGCCACAGGGCTGTTTAGCACCACAGACCCAGGTCCGACCTAGGGCAGGAGCCCTGCTTCACTCTGTGCCTCCCCTCTCCCTGGAGAGCCAAGAGAGCCCAGGCAGGCTCACTGCCTCCGAGCTGCAGCAAGAGTGGGGCCTGGAGTAGCAAACTTGGGTGGTTCAGGGGTGCTGGGGCACTTGGTGTGCACACAGAGCTGGGGAGGGAGACGAAGGGCGCCTTCCCTGCAGTACCGGCTTTCCTGGTTACTGTACTGGCAGGGGAAAAATGAGCTGGGTACAGCCGCTGACCCCCACTACCTTGTCAGGAGGAGTCACAAGGTGGGTCTCGGGGACACCAGTCGTGTGTCTGTCCCAGCTCCAGCGGCTCGGCTGTATTACCCGTGACTCTGGAGGAGTCTCAGTCCTGTCTGCTGACAGCCTGTGGAGTGTGTACTGTACTTGGTGGCTCCTTTCTGCCCCAGCCTGGGGTCTGGCTGATGACTGACTCTGTGCACATCTTTTCAGGCCATCCTGGCTGCAGGCAGCATGATGCAGACTCACGGGGACTTCGACGTTGCCCTCACCAAGTACAGAGTTGTAGCCTGCGCTGTCCCAGAAAGTCCTCCTCTCTGGAATAACATTGGAATGTGTTTTTTTGGCAAGAAAAAATACGTGGCAGTGAGTGTGTCATCCCCACGGTGGGTGACAGGGTCTGCAGAGGTCACCCTGCTCCTCACTGAGGCCCCTCTTTACCACAGGCTATCAGCTGCCTGAAGCGAGCCAACTACCTGGCCCCCTTCGACTGGAAGATCCTGTATAACCTGGGCCTTGTCCACCTGACCATGCAGCAGTATGCGTCTGCCTTCCACTTCCTGGGCGCAGCAATCAACTTCCAGCCCAGGCTGGGGGAGCTCTACATGCTCCTGGCTGGTAAGAGACACGGGGAAGGGGCTCCTTCTTAGGGGGAAGAGGAGTGAGAACTGTAGGCCAGTGGCTAGATTCTCCACAGAAGCCATTCCCTGAGACGCCCTGTAAGGATCTGGTTCGTGTCCAAGAACTTGAAGCCATCAGGAAGAGGAGATGATAGCGGACCTGCTTACTTCACACAGATCCTACCGGGGTAAATTGAGATCAGCCCTAGTTCATCTCTTACCACTCTTTTCCGTTGGCTTTCCTTTGGAGGAGGGGCAATAGTGATCAAACCCAGGACCCCCAGACCCCTTTCCACGGACACTGAACTCCTCAGCCAGCTTCCAGAGACTGCGTGTTGGGAACTTGGGCTTTAGGAGGTCCCTGCCTCCCCTGCAACAGCATGTACTTAGGTAGATGTGAGGAATTACTCTTGGTTTTGCTGGGGTTATATAGTTGGTCTATCAGTATTGTTTTTGCTACTCTAATAATTGGTGCTTGTTGCAAGTCAAGCTCTAGAGCTTGTTATATGGAGTGTGGTTCTATTCTTGAAACTCCATTTATGCCACGCAGATAGTAAAATTCATCACAAAAATGAGTTAATCAGGCAAATACTTTCAATCATTTAAAAGTACTGACTAGCACTGGGGTTGTAGCTTAGTGGCGGAGCCCGTGCCTAGCATGCACAAGACCTTGGGTTTAATCCTCAGCACTGCAAAAAAGAAAAGTGCCAACTAAATTGGGGAATATTTTCTTCAAATACTTTTTTTTTTTTTGTACTGGGGATTGAACTCAGGACCTTTTGCTTGTGAGGCAGGCGGTAGAACCACTGAGCTAAATGCCCGGGCCTGAAAACTGACTTAACCTTTCTTTTTTTTGGTACCGGGGATGGAACTCGGACCTTGGGCTTGCAAGGCAGGCAGCAGAACTACTGAGCTAAATCCCTGGGCCCTCCAAATACTAAACTTACTAAATGGAAACTCAAAACAGTTTTTGTGCCATTAAAAGTGGTTTTCCGGTGAGCTTTTCAGTCCTTTTTGTGGGATGCAAAAGTAACAGTGGCTTGAATGCAAAGATGGCCCAGTCCTAATGGGGACACAGAAACTCTGACAGCCTTCACATGGACTCTGAAGGAAGAGCTGGGCCTGGGGAGGGGGTGGACAACTGGCCGAGGGCACTGTGAGCCAAGGCACACAGCTGTGCTGCTTATGTCCCTTACCGTCAGCAGGTAGCAGTGTCCAAGGATGATGTGGGGCTCCGTTGGGAAAGGTTGTCTAGGACCACATCATGGAGGGTCACAGGCAGGGAAAGGGCGGCAGACCCCATCCCAAGCCTGTGTCTGTCCGCCTTGTTCCTAGAGCTCCTTGCAGGTGCTGTTTGGTGCAGTGCTGCAGGAGACAGAGTGGGCAGAGCCTTTGGAGCAGCTGGCTTTTCTTGCTTTACAAGGCTTTCAGGAAATACTGATTAAAAATGGGGGGTGGGTTAGCTGGTGTGGTAGCACATGCCTATAATCCCAGCACTCAGGCGGCAGAAGCAGGAGGATTGCCATGAGTTCGAGGTCAGCCTGAACTACATAGTGAGACCCTGTCTCAAAAAACAAAAAAAACAGTTGCAAAAGCAGGATGCTCAGAAGTTGGCAACTGACCGCCCAGGGAGAGAGGACTCTCATTCAGAGAGGGCTCAGCTGAGTAGCTGAGGCACGCAGGAAGAGTCCAGTGGGAGCAGTCTCGAGGGGCTCTTTTCTAAGCTGGGCTCTCTGTCTCTGTTGCAGTGGCCTTGACCAACCTGGAAGATACAGAGAATGCCAAGAAAGCCTACGCAGAAGCAGTCCGCCTGGACAAGTGAGCTGCCCTGTGGGAATGGAACCGGGAGGGCTGGGTGCTGTCTGTGTTGGCCGGGTCGCCCTCCACAGCCTGGACACAGCAGGCCCAGCTGTAGGAGGAGCAGGGAAGCCCTTTGAGTCCCATGTCTGGTAATCAGAAGGCTTGTGGTGGCCGAGGCCATGGGTTGCTGATAAAGCTGTGGAATATTAGACGGGACTCTGGGCTCAGTGTAATCGAAGGCAAGTATTACTTCTAGGATTTATTCTGCTGGGGTCTGCTACACAGCAGGGTAGGGATCCCTCTTCCCCCGTGACCTCTGTTGGGGATGAGGTGCCAGACTCAGTCTCAGTACCTGCTTTTCCGGTTAGGCAATTGACTGGTTCTTCTCTGTGGGTCCACATAGCACGTGTTTCACCCTGCTGTGGGATGGAGAAATCTCTACTTCATCAGTTTGGTTTCTGTGTAATAGGAAGGAGGATCCTAAGTGAGTGTGTGTTGAATCCCTGTCTGTCGCAGGTGTAACCCTTTAGTAAACCTGAACTATGCTGTGCTGCTGTACAACGAGGGCAACAAGAGGGGTGCCCTGGCCCAGTACCAGGAGATGGAGAAGAAAGTCAACTTCCTCAAGGACAACAGCGCTTTGGAGTTTGACCCTGAGGTATACCTTACTAGTTCGGGGTCACTAAGCAAGCTCTCAACACACTTCTGAATCAAGCCCAAATAACCCAATTTCAGGGTACTATGAGCTCTTTTGGCTTTGATGTTCCTTGCAGCATGAGTCTGCTAGTTAGTTACACCCTAAGACAAAGTTTCCTAGAGGAAAATAATAGTGAGGAAACGCAGGCTTCCTGCATTACCTGTTGGCACTAACGCAGCTTGTGGAGTTGGGGTCCGTCTTCAGAGCTTCCTCCTTCCCAACTGCAGAAGAGGCAGGGTTTAGCCCAGTCCCGCAGCAGATTTGAACTGTTAGGTTTTGAGATGCTGAGGAAGCCCCTTGCCCTCCACTAAAGGCAGTTTCTCAGCGATTTGAGAACGAGTTCCTTGCGAGAAGTACTTCTGCCCTCAGATACTAGTACCATCAGATATTCCTAGGAACAGGAGGTTGTCTCTGCCAGTCATGCTTGTGACTTTCTTCCTGTGCTACAAGAGATGGTGGACATGGCTCAGAAGTTGGGAGCTGCTCTCCAGGTTTCAGAGGCTCTGGTCTGGACTAAACCAGTGAAAGATCCCAGAGCCAAGCACCGGTCCACTTCCACCAGCAAACCTGCCAGTCTCCAGCAGCCTCTGGGCTCCAACCAAGCTCTGGGACAGGCAATGTCTTCGGCAGCCTCTTACAGCAGAAAGCTTCCCGCAGGTAGGAGCCTATACGGAGCCCCACAGAGACGTGGTGGGTATGAGCCAGTTGGTGCCCGCAGAGAGATGACGGCTTTGGAGGTGTGCATTCTTCAGACTTATTGTGTGGCCAACTTAGCACTGGCCGGAGCGGGGAAAGGCCATAGGGTGGCTGGACTGGCATCTGTTTCCCTGGGGCAAGCTGTGTTGCAGATACGACTACTGCTTGCCTTAGTTGGATGGGCCACACTCTGGGTCTTTACTGAGAACTGTTACTCAGTCCTCCTTTCACTGCTTCATCATAGGTTAGCACAGCATAGGTAATTAAGGATTTCTTTCAGCGACTCACTGAAGGCAGCCTTGACTGCTGCTTTATCTCTTCAGCTAGGGTTGTTCCTCGCAGCTGCAGGCACTGTAGAACTACTACTACCAGAAAATATGAGGTTTTCTTCTCTCTTTTTTTTTGAGACAAGACCTCACTATATAGTTGAGGCTGGCCTTGAACTTGCTATGTAGCTCAGGCTGGGTAATCCTGCCTCAGCCTCCTGAGTGCTGGGATCATAGGCATGCGCCACCATGCAAGGCAAGGTTTCCTCTTTTAAATTCAATAGCAAAAATGATGATCTGACCTGGAATTTGAGCTGTCTGTTTTGTTACAGGTGGAAGAACAACCCAGCTTGCAAAGCCACCATCTCTTCCCCTGGAACCAGAGCCTACTGAGGAAGCAAGTCCAGTCAAAGCATCAAAACAAATAAGAGAGCTGGGCATGTTGGCTCAGGCCTGTAATCCCAGCACTCAGGAGGCTGAGGCAGAAGGATCACCACTAGTTCCAGGCCAGCCTGGACTATCTAGTGAGTTCAGGGCCAGCCTGCAGTACAAATCGAGACCCTGTCTCAAAAAACAAAAACAAACAGAACAAATAGAAAAATAGGAATAGGTTTTCTTGGGGGGAGGCTGCAGCAGATGGAGGACGGTCACACGACCAGGCAGAGTAGAGGCTGGTGCCAGAGCATTCAGAGAAGGATGTAGGGCGTCCTGTGATCATGAGGCTCTAAGCCTGTGCATCCTGCACTGGCCCGGAGATAGGGAAAAAATAGCAGTTAGCGCCCCTAGGAGGCGGGAACAGGGCTTGAGGCTGCCCAAGGCCTGAGTGTCAGTAAGGCACATGGTGCTGCTGGCTTCCAGAAGGACTTCCTGTCCTGGCTGTCCAGCCCCTTCCTTTAGTCAGGGCAAGGCTGCTCAGTAGCCTAGTGATGAAGCTTTGGCCTAGCTGGGGGTGACCCTCAGGCTGTGGGGTGATACTAGTCCACCAGGCAGACACAAATCTTGAAGTCCTCATGTTTTCTTTTGCTGAGGCCCAAGTCCAAAGCTGGATCATGGCAGTGTAAGTCATACGTGTCAAGGCCTGGTATCACCACCAAGGATTAAAAGCATATCAGTCTCTTAGAGGAATTTGTGTCAGACGATCAGTGCTACCCAGATGCTCTAATTCACTAGCTGTGTGCCCTTCTAAAGATTATGTATCATTGTTCTTCAGGTATAAAAATGAGATCACATTAAACACTTTTAAAAAACTGACCACTCTCTGCCCTTAACTGTTTCCAAGCCTAGTTTGAGACTGGCGGGAGTGTCAAGGTCAGGCTCCTGCTTGGTACCAGCACAGGCTGGCCTGGTGAGCGGCAGCAGCAGCAGGGCCGTCTGCACTGCTGGCTTACACTGCCCTTTAGCACCATGGCCAGAGGCGGGGGAAATGGAGCCACACATGCAGTTCTTCATGACTGGGTCCAATCTGACATCCAAGAGGCAGCCAACTGAGAACGCGCCTCTTTGGTCCCCAGATCTGACACACAGCAACTGGCAGACATTGTGATGCCCCTGCCGTTACAGCAGATGTGTGATGGACGGGCTTCTGCCCTTAGCAAGTCACTTCTGCATCAGCATGGAGGCTACTGTGCTACATGGAATGGATTAGTTACTAAACTTGGGAAGGTTACTGAAAAGGCTTCAGAATGATAGCGTAAACTGGGAGAGGAGGGGGAGATGTGAGAGATCTAGAAGGAAAATGAACAGCTGGATGTGGTGGCATACACCTGCAACTCTAGCACTGAGAGGCTGAGACAGGAGGTGGGCAAGTTTAAAGCCAGCCTGGGGTACATAGCAAGACCCTCAACAACCAGAAAAATCTAAAATCAAAAATTATGGGTTGACAGTGTGGCAGGTGACTGGCAGAGTTAAATCAGAGTTAAATCAGGAATATGGGGGCCAAGGGCCAATTGTCCAGTCTGTTTTAGACATGTCTGGACACCAATCAACAACATCTTGTTAGACTTGAATAACTGGATTTTAGGAATGAAATCTGGCTTGAAAGAAAAATTTGGGAGTAATTTGGATAGCTGAAAATCAGATTTGAAAGGAGTCTCCCAGAGCAAGCTAGCATTAAGAAGGCAAGGAATGCTGGGCATGATGGTGCACACCTGCAATCCCAGCACTCTGGGAGGCCAAGGCAGGGGATCTCAAGGTTGAGCCCAGCCTGGGCAACTTACCGACTTAGTGACACCCTGTCTCAAAAAAAACTAGGGCTGGGGTATAGCTCAGTGCCTAGGCCCTGCATCCAAGCCCCAGTACCTTAGTGGGTAAAAAAAAAAAAAAAACCCAGAGAACCAAAGCAGGAAAATAAACATTTAAAGGGAGAAGCAGAAGAGCCTACCAAGGCGGCAACAGTAGAAGCAAGCATAAAACAGGAAAAATTAGGACAGTAGTGTTAGAGAAGATCAAGGGACAAGGGGTTCAGGAGGGAATGGTCAGGCTACTGAGCACTTCCAACAGCAAGTTACTACCATTTTATAAAGGCAAGTGCTGAGGCTAGAAGCAAAATGAACTTCCCATGCTAAGTGCCAGGACCAGGATTTTTTTGTGTGTGTGCTGGGGATCAAACTTGGGACCTTGCACATGTGAAGCAGGCGACAGAACCACTGAGCTAAATAAATCCCCGGCCCCAGGACCAGGATTTGAACCCTGGTCCTGATGTAAAGCTCCTCCTCTTCCTGTCACCCAGCAGCGATGGATTGTTCCTGAGGCTTGGAGACTGAAGAAGAGGAAATTCAGCTACTCTCATAGCTTCAAAGGGGGGCCAGGGATTTAGCTCAGTGGTTCTGCCTCCTGCCTCGCAAGCACAAGGTCCTGAGTTCCATCCCTGGTACCAAAAAATCCCCACAACAAATCAGATAGCTTCAAAGAAGAGAATTTTTCACAGGTAGAATTGAATTCATTCCTCTGATCTGAGAACCCGTGAGGACAGAAGAGGGCAGAGGTCTCCCCTTTTCCCTAAGTGAAGTGTGTGAGAAGCAGAGAATGCAAGATCAGGGCTGCTCATCTTCCCTGCACTCCTTGGGGTGCACCTGGCATCCAATGACAGCTGTCAGGAAGGGGTGCTTTCCACATCCACCTGGGTTCAGAATGCCTTACAAATGGCAAGAATGAGGCTGCACATAACCAGTCCAGTGGGCATGCAGAGCTGTGGTTTCTTACTCTGATGAAAAAGCTGCTCGAACTTCTAGTATGCTCATATCACACAGTTTTTAGGTTTCTTTTATTTTGTTTTATTTTTTTGGTACCGGGCACTGAACTCGGGACCTTGCACTTGTGAGGCAGGTGGCGGAACCACTGAGCTAAATCCCCAGCACACAGTTTTTAACAGTAAGGAAAGTGAGGCCAAATACATAGTCCCAGGAACAGACGTGTTCAATGCCTTGATCTGGAGGCAGGAAAGCAAAGTATGAATTAGGATTACAGGCCTGTACCACCACACCCAGCTATATTCTTGGGAAGACTAAATACAATTAAGATAAAGTTTCCGAAATGGATCTGCAGATTCCTGTCATGATCCCAGGGGTTTCTGGGTAGAAATACACAAGCTGATTCGAAAGTTCTATGGAAAGATCAAGACTTAGTACATCTAAGGCAACCCTGAACAAAATTAGAGAATGAACACTTTGTCACCTCAAGGCTGTCTATAATAGTAGTCATGTGGCTCTAGCATAAGAACAAATACACAAATAATAAAACTGTATACATAGATTTCATACTTACAGTCATTTGGTTGATAAAAGCACCAAAGCAATGTGATGCAAAATGTCTTCAATAAATGGTGTTGGGACAACTGGACAGCTGTGTGGAAAAAATAAACAGGGGCTTGGGACAGGAAGATGCTGGTGAAAAGTATCAAACTTCAGCTAGATAGGTGGATTAAGTTGAGGAAAGCTACTATAGTTAGTGACTATAGTTAACAGCAGTGCATTCTTGGAAATTACTAAAAGTAGATTTTAGGCCGGGGATTTAGCTCAGTGGTTCCGTGGCCTGTCTTGCAAGCACAAGGTCCTGAGTTCAATCCCTGGTACAAAAAAAAAAAAAAGATTTTAAGTGTTCACCCACCCCAAAAAAGATCAGCTGATGCCTATGTCAATGAGCTTGATTTAACTATTCCACAATGTATTCAAAAGAACGTGTACACAATATAGAATTATCATGTAAAATAAACCCGACCCCAACCTAACGCTATACACAAAAAGTAACTCAAGCTGGACATGGTAGTTCATGTTTGTGATCCCAGAACTCAGGAGGCTGAGGCAGAAGGATCACTGTGAGTTTGAGGCCAGCCTGAACTACATAGTGAGACTGTGTCTTAAAAAAAAAAAAAGTAACTCAAAATGGATTATAGCCCTACTTGTAAAAGCTAAAGTTATAAACTTCCTAGAAGAAAATAGGGAACTACACTCACAACAGGTCACAGAGAAGACATTAAGAAAAATGAGACGCCACACACTTGGAGGAAATAACAAAAGATACCCGACAGGGACTTGTATTTAGAATATAAAAAATTATTATAGCTTAATAAAAAGACCAAGCAACTAAGGAAAAAAGTGAGCAGATTTGGACACTTCACAAAGACATGCATGGCCAATAAACACGTGCAGAAGTGCTCATCATCTGTCACATAGGAAATAAAAACACAATGAGACTCACTAGCCATCAAAAATGGCTAAAATTGAACTGACAACTCTAAATGCTGGCAAGAATAAGACACAACACCACAACTATCACACACCATTGATAAGAACATCAGATGGTCCAACAGCTTTGGGAAAAGGTCTTTCACCAAGAATTCTCTCTAGATTTTTATCCAGAAAACTGACGTAACTGTACACACTTATAACAGCTTTATTCCTAAAAGCATCCAAGTAGCCTCTATTTACAATGGAATACTATTTATCTGTAAAAAAACCAATGAACTACATGTAACATGGATTAATCTCTAAAACACACTGAGAACACCTTTATACAAAGCACCACACACTGAAAGATTTTTATGAATCCCAGAACTGACAAAACCAATTTATGATGAGAAAAATGGTAACAAGTTAGGGTTAGGGTCAGGGTCAGGTGGGGACAACTTGGAAGAGCACAGAGGAAAGATATGGGGTGCACAGTCTACATTGGTTTGGAGAAAAATATATGCATGTGTCAGAACTTACCAAGAGGTACACTCAAAATTTGTGCAGTTTCACTGCATAAAATTACCTAAAAATTACCAAAAAATAAAACGTTAAAGTATTACAACAGCTTTCAAATGATTTCAAACGTCCTAAAGAGGACCCAGGAATTGCCTGTTCAACCTAGTAACAACTGACAATTGCCGTATGCTTAAATAGTGTGGCCGACTGTGCTGAATGCTTTGCACAGGTCTACAGCCCAGGGAGGGCTCGGCCCCACAGGAGGCCCATTTTACAGATGGAGAAAGTGAGGCCAATCAAGGGCAACTTGTCCAGGATTGGACAGCACCTGCCATCTCAAAACCTTGCACAGATTTGGGGTTTTCCTGCTGAAGTTACCCTCACCACACTCAAACCTGACAAAGTGAGAGAAAAAATGCACAAACCCACTCGCTGAGGGTCCTGGCGTGGTGTGTACATCGGCTGGCTCTTCACCAGGGCCTCCTCTCTAGGCCAGTGATGTTCCAACTTCTCATCTTCATATAAAATCACAAGTGGAAACCTGTGTAGCACAGCAGTTTAAAGCAAAGGACAGAGAGACCCAAGCCCCACCTCTTTAGCTTACTGTGCCTTCAATGCTCCTCTGGCAACTCTGGCCTCGGGGCCTGCTCCAGCCACGCTCAGCCTACCTGGTGAGAAGGTGGCACGTTCCACAGAGCGAGGTTTGGACACTCCAGTCCTCACACACTTGTTCAGACATATGTTCACTGACATCCGACAATCCACTGTGCTGCTTACAGCATAGAATGCATTTTGATATTTTGGTGACAAGCACCAAATTGGTTTAGCGAGTACTATTAGTAGCTCAAGGATCATTTGAAAAAGACCACTCTGCGGGTTGGGGGGTGTCGCTCAGTGGTAGGGAGCCTGCCTGGCATGTCCAAGGCCCTGGGTTTAATCCAGAGAACTACAACAACACAAAACAAAACAAACACTGTGCTAGGCTTTGTACCGACTAAAGAACATTTTTTGAACTGGTCTTTACTGACATTATAGAAATTGGAGAATTTTTCAGAATATACACTCAATTTACAAAGACCACGAGGACTACTAATAAAGTCTCTGGTTTAAAAGATTTAGAAATGAGCTACTCCAGTTGTTAGGAAAACAGAAATCTCTTCTTAATCCTTTTAATAAAAATAGGCTAGAAAGTTGGTGGTTTTTAATTGAACTGAAAGCAGAGAAGGGTAAACTGGCAGCCAGAGATTTCCTTACTGATCTACTGGCTCCGTACAAGATGTGTCATTCTCTAGGTTTAAATTTTCTCTGGGAAAGAATAATCAAATAAAAAGCCTTAGGTAGCTGTGAGATTCCAGGAGCTGCTCTGTGGCCCTGTACAAGACCCACCTGCCACTAAGCTGCCTGCCACCAGATGCCACACCCATGCTGCACTCTGAACAAACTGCCACTCACTGCGCTTTGAACTTGCTCAGCTTCAACTCAGCTACTTAATACTCGTGGTTTCTGTCATCTTAAGCCTCAGGGGACAGGCCTACTGTGCAGGCTTAGTGTGAGGGGACTACCTGACCCAGTGACAAAGATGACAAACACAAGATCAGAGGGACATGGCAGTTACAAGAGCAGAGTGAGGTGCAAACAAAATCAATTACAGGCAGACTTAGGAGTCCTGAAATGTAAATTGTTTTTAATATTCTTAAAAGCACACAGAAGTCTTGATTTATAAAAAAATAAATATATACCATGACAAAGTTATTCATGATCCCGGAGCTCTTTTGAGGTCAAACTTTAATGGATGCGTCAATGACAACATAAAACATACACACGGTCTGTTAGACACAGATGTACATTCCAGTTGTAAAACCAAACTCCTTCGAGGCTCAGAAAGAATAAGTATCACGCTTTTGCTGCAGAAAGGACAGCCAAGCTGGGCGGGGAGGTTCAGCAGTCCGGCCACGGCAGCCTCCAACCCAAGGAACCGAGGCAGGAAGGCACCGTCCCTCTGCATGTCCCTCTGCTCACAGGACCATCCAGGCTTCCGGACACCTGTAGAGCGACCTGCTTGGAGGCTCCCTGAGGATCACATTTCTCCTGCAACCATAAACCATGGCAGGGACTATTTTGTCCCTACCTGTGGCTCTGACCTAGGTCCAAGAGCAGAAGACCAAGAAGGTATGCTCACTAGACACTGTCACTGTCACGTTCAGCGGAAACCATGACTGCCCACGGGCAGCGAGCTGAGACCCCAGCACCTCCCACCAGGCTCCTCAGGCCCAGGACACTTCTCCGGTGCACAGGGAGAGGGTGCTTTCTCTGCCTGACAAGCTCTCCAGGCCGAAGAAGTTTGGCTTAAAATACTTGATGACACTGCAGAAGTTGGAGATTCGGGAATTGAAGTTTTTACTCCTGCAACATACAACATAAAAAACAAAAAATCCAGTCCTATTAGTAGAGAGCTAAATCTTGGTTAAAACCTGACATGTTCCGATGGGCCTGCCAACAGGCTGGAATGTATCTGTAGAGCTGAACCTGCTGTTTCTTTGGCTGTCTTCCAATTTGATCTAGAACTAACACCCTCCATCCTGTTCTCCGAGCTGTGTGCTTCCTGCAGTCCTTCAGTCGGCCGGTGCCCACTCCTCAGACCCGCTACTCACTGCTTTCCTAAGACGGAGAGTGGACTTCCGAGTAGAAGAGTCCTTCTGCCGAGATGGCGTCCCCGAGGCCCACAGTTCGAACTGGGTCCTTGCACACCAGCACCGGTGTGAAGTAGAAGGATATGCCCTCGCGCTGCCACTCTGCCATGGGCTTGATCGGATTCAGCACGATCCTGGAGCCTGCTTCTGAGTAGGAAGTCATGAACTCTTGGGGTGCCCTCAGAGACACTCGGCCGGCATCGATGGTTTCGGTGGCACAGGCCTGGGTTCCGGCCACGCGAGCTCCAGCGGCCACGGCTGCCAGCTGGTTGGCCCAGTGCCCATCCACCGTGGCCAGGATGTGGTAGACCAGCGTGTGGAAATGGACCCTGGTGAGATCTGAGGCTCGGCCTTTACTCCTCCCGTGCTCCTTCAGGATCCAGAAGAGGATGTCACTGACCATGCCCACATCAGGAATGCCATTCCAGGAGGACAGAGAGGCGTGAGGTCCAGATGCCGACTGGCTGAGAAACAGCAGCTCCTGTTCGTTCAGCCCGAGGGAAGTCACTGCAGGAAAGACCTGCTAACAGAAACAAGGACAGGTCTCTCGCTGGTGGTCACACCCAGCTCCTGACAGCTCGGGACACAGCCAATGGCTACGTGATAGGGATGGCTGGAGTCTTTCCTCACTCCTGAACCTGCCTCTACCACCGGCTTTGGGGTCACTTGGGACAAACTGCGAGGTTGCAGTAGCACCATTTCACACTGTTTTCTGTCCTGTGCCATGGTGAGAAAGGGCAAAGTGTTTTGCATGTCCTCCTGCAGTGCCCAGCTCTGGCCCTTACACAGTGGATTCTCAGAAGGGGCAGGCAGAGTTCCTAAGACACTGAAATAAACATTTTTAAAAAGTGAAGATACTCAACCTCAAAAAGAGAAATACAAAGAAAAACTACACTGAGAAACACTATGAGTGAACCCAACGGTCAGTTTTGGACACTGAGTGACAGGCCAGTGTGGGTCCCCTGGCTATAATGAGGTGGCCTCCCTGGTGAGGGTTGTTGACAGAGACAGTGACAGGAACACATAGCAGCTCTTTGTACAGGCTCAACGGTGCTGTGGGGAAAAAACTGCCTTAAAAAATAAAGTCTATTTCAAACACACACACACACACAAAGCGGGTAAGATGGGCATGCAGCTCAGTGGCAGAGTGCTTGCTCAGTATATTTGAGGCCCTGCGTTCAATCCCCATCACCTCAGCGTTGCAAAAAAGGAAAAAAACACAACAAAACCAAACCAAAAACTGCCATTTTTTACCCGCCAGACCAATACAAATACAAGTTTTTAATCACATTCTGGTGGCAAGGTTATGAGGAAATAAGCACTTATCAGTTTCATGAGTGGGAAGTAAACAGGTGTGATTCCCAGCAAAGGCAATCTCAAGACTTAGAAGTGTTTTCTTGTGCTCCAGTTCAGCAGTTCTACTTCTGAGATTTTACCCTACACCTGTACTTGCTCACAAGCAAAACAAAACAAGGTCAGACTTATTCACTGCGGTGCCCTATGGGAGAGCAAAGGAAGTGACGCCTAAGATGCCCATCAAGGGGCCAGGGCAAACAATCTGAGCAGCGTCCACACCTGCACTCCCACCCCGAGGCTGGGAGACCCTCAGGTGCTCTCCCAGTACCAGCACAGAAGAGGCCTCCACAGCTCAGCTAGTGAGGAAAAGCCAAGTGCAGAGCCGTACTTGGTGTGGTAAGCTCTCTTTCCGGGTATAAAGGCACAGAGCAAAAAGGATGTATTTCCATATTTTCTTATACGCATCAGACTAACTGGTGAGAGCCAGATGAAGCTGATAAGGAGGTCCCCGGTGGAGGAAGGGGAGATGAAGGGAGGAGGGAGACTTCACTGTGTATCCTTTGTTTTCTGAGCCGTTACCAATGAACGTGTTAAATAACAGTGAAAGAGAAGGTCAAGAAACTGAGTCATAAAGCGAGTGAGCGGCAGAACTGATGCGCCGGCCCAGGTGTCGAGAGCTGTGTCCTGCGCCCCACTTGGATTTGTCCTAACTATGCTGCTGTCCAGAGGCAGGACACATTCCTAGGTGCCTGCTGTGAGGTGTGCAAGGTCACCCAAGTTTCCTGACTTTGCACTTCCTGAGGTTTAACTGAGAGCAGCTCAGCCAGGCTTCCAGTTTCCTCCTCGAGCCGGGGATTTAGCTCAGTGGTTTTGCTGCCTGCTGCAGCAAGCACAAGGACCCGAGTTCGATCCCCGGTACCAAAAAAAACACAAAAACCCAAAAAACCCCAAAAAACAGTAAAATCATTTAGGGCTGGGATTTAGTTCAGTGGTTCTGCCGCCTGCCTTGAAAGTGCAAGGTCCTGAGTTCGATCCCCAGTACCAAAAAAACCCCCCAAAAACAAAAAACCAAAAACCTCAGTTTCCTCCTCGAGTTCTGCCAGCACCATTCACTTCCGCCTCCCCATTCCAGAGGGAGAAATGCGACTCACAGCCCTTCACTTGGTGGCACTGGTGTGTGCGGGATAGAACCACAGCCTTATCTGACTCCTCTGGGGAGCCAACACCGACACAACACCCACGCCTCAGCACGCCATCCTGGAGCCCAGATGCAGTCCCAGGGAGGTGACCAGGCCAGGAGGGTTACCTGCTGCATGATGCTGCTCATGAGCTCCCTGTTCGTCATGCTGGCCAGCTCCAGGTGAACTGGAACCCCGGTGGGGATGTCAGCAATGGAGGTGACGACCTGCAAAGGGAAGAGGACAGCACTGCCGTCAGGATAGGAGGAAGCTGGGCAGGAAGGAAGGAAAGAGAAGGTCCTGAGCGCATTCAGGTGCCTCCTCGTAGCCTCCTTCTCGGATCCTCATGAGCTGCAAGGACTGTGGGTCCCCACCACCTCTGTGGGCCATGGGCACTTTCCCAGCAGGGAACTATGCTCTGTGAAAAACCAGAGGCCAAAGAACTGCCCCTGCCTGGATGTGCGCCGGCCTGTTCCTGGGGTCTAAACCGAGCTGCCGGCTCCAACTGCTGGACAGACGTGCAGGCACCGCAACACAGCGGATGTGAAGCGCGATGGGACAGGTAACACAAAGGACACAAACTACAGAGCCTGCAACTCGCAGCCACACTCAGTTTAGCACAGGAGGCAGAGGCGTGGGCGAGACGCTGTCCTGACCTGCCCTGAGAAAGCTGCTGCCATTTGTCCTCAGGAGATGGGACCTAAGGCGGCACAAGCCACACAGGCTGAGGCAGGAGCCCGCAGCAACGCCTGCTGAGGGCACGAGAGTCTCCGACAGTGCCGTTACCTCCAAGAGTCTCTTCTTCTGGAGCTCCTTGCTCTGTCCCTCCATCATGTGCAATCCAGAGAGGACCACCAGGTCAGGCTGGAACTCCTCCAGGCTAGACACAAACACCTCCAGCATATTCATGGCCCCGTTGGAGAGGTCGTGGGAGAAGATGAAGCGGTTGGCATGGGGAGCTTTAAACTGGCCCCACTCCTCCCCTAGAAGAGCCCAGTTGACACAATGGGAAGAAAAGGAAGAGGCTTTCAGTCTCCTCGCTGTGGGGAGCCCAGGTCCCGAGCAGGCTGCGGTGGTCTGGGGTCAGCATGGCGCTGTGTCCAGGACAGTGGAAGGTAAACAAACCCATCAAAAACCTAAACCCTAATCCAACAAAGAAACCAAGACCTAGTAGAGGCTCTGTACGCCTTTTTCAGTCATGAGTGCCTTTTGAGTTCAAGGAGCCCTCTGTCCACTGAGCTCTCAAACACAAGATGCAGTTATGTGCCATGCACCCAGCCATCAGACACACTGCCTCTTCCCAAGTCGGGTCCCCGTCACAGCAGTGCCCGACACCCCCATTTAGCTGGAATCTGGGCAGGCCAAGTCCCAGGAGCCACACTGCCCCCTAGTGGTTTCTGGTCACTTCTGCCTGAGGCAGCAACGACTCAAGACCAAGATTGATGCTATTTCTTCCTCAAATGTGCAGCCTTTCCCCACTGACTCTCCTTTGCCCAGGAAGACTGCATTACCTCCTTCCCAGGCCCACCGTGGCCTCCCTCATTCCTGCAGGGGCCCAAGCTGAGGACACAGCAGTGTCTTCTGTCATCCTGTCTCTACTCCCTAAACTGGCACTTGGCAACAGCTGTGTGAATGCGTTAGTAAAGAGCACTGAGTGAACAGGGGACAGACTGATGACCTAAAGGACTGTGACAAGAAACAGAGCTATGAACTCCGAACCCCACATTTCTCAAATGAACAGGACTGCAAAATGGGGAAAATGCATGATGTGGATATTTTCCCCATAGCAACATGAGCCTAGCCTGCAGCTTGGATTGCTAGGAAACATGGCCTCATGCAGCCCAGGCGGAGAGCACCACACAGTGACCCAGACAAGCCCATTTCTTCAAGGAGCGACAGAGGAAAAACCAACAAGTTTCTGCAAGGCGAGGACAAGGGGAACTATGGCAAACTTCTCACCGGTTCCACAGGACACAGGACTGATGGGGTGGCCTGAGAAGCAAGCAGGTTGGAACCCAGCCTGGGACAGTGCTTCATGTCCCTCTGCTCACAAAGCTTTGTGTGTACCGCTGCTAGCAGTCTCTGCTCAGTTTAGCATCCTGCCCTTCCCCCAGCCAGGGCAGCGAAACCCCCAGTCTCAGTCTGCAAATGAGCTGCCCTGGGGTGGGCTGGTGGAAGAGAGAAAAACAAGCTGACAAAGCCTGTTGGGAAGCATCCGTCTTGGTCAGGGAGGCTGGGCACAGAGTGCTGTTAAGAAAGCTTACCCGAGGCTGCTGCCACCACACTACATGGCCCCTGGGACCTATGAAAATGTAACTTTGCCTAAAGCCTAATGGAAGCCCACTGCCTCATACAAAGAAAGATAAGGGATAGCAAAGACAAACTGAATGCAAGGTTTATAAATCCAAGAAGGGAGCCAGCTCTCTCCCAGATCAGCTTTTCCACTTCACCCAGATCAGCTTCTCCACTTCACGCAAGGCATAGCTGGCATATACCATAGCAAAGAAGCTGGGTGTGGTGGGCACATCTGTAATTCCCAGCACCTGAGGGCTGAGGCAGGAGGATTGCTGCAAGTTTGAGGCCGGCCTGTCCTATACAGTGAGTTCATGGCAGCCTGGAATAGAGAGACCCTGTTTCAAAAAAACAAAAACAAAATACAACAGCAAAGTCCTCTTGAAGACATGCGACTCTCCACTGAGCAATAGTCACCATGGGAAGTGACAGAAACCAAGAACTGCAAAGGTGCCCCGTTCACGCTGTAAATGCCAACAGAGGTGTCAGAAAGAGAGTGGGCCCGAAAGCAGCAGCACCTCGGCACCTCTGAGCTACTGCAGGTCCTTCTGGGCAGTGGGCAGGTTCATTAAGCTGCTTACAGTGCCCCTCACCACCACACGCATGAGGGAAAACTACCACTCCTATTTCCCAGGAGCAAAACTAAAACAGAGAAACTCAACACATGTGCACCATGAAGTATGAACTGCTTCCTGCAACATTCTGCCTCTGATATCCAGACCTTGCCTGTCCTGAATTGCCAATGAATGCTAGTGAGTACCCAAAGGAGAACTGGAAGCAAGCCACAGCTCCTTTCTGTACTTTCAAGCAGCACCTCATGCTACAGTTAATCACTCCAGCAGGTGAGGTTTTCTTGATCGTCTTACTTGGAAGCAGTTCACTGATAAGCATTAGGTACCAATTATTTGCCTGTATGCTAGAGACTTTAACATGAATTAGTAATGTGTTGAATCAGAAACCCAAGAGTCTGAGTTCTTAGCAGGGGAAAAGATACAGCAGGAAGTATATCCGGGTGTAAGAGTCTTACAGAAATCAGATGCCTGGTCTTTGGAACACACAGAATCTACTGGGGGTGGTGCAGTGGGTCTGGATTTATAAACACTGGAATACTACACAATGGAAAATAATATAAGTAATGTTAAATACAAAACACTTCTGTTCACATCTTAAGGCGAAAATAAAGCACTCCCAAGAAAGCTCGCCAGAGACCTAGAACCAATCGTCACCAGGGTAGGGAATCAGGCCAGAGAAGCCCAGGGCAGAATCCAGTAGAGTTAAGCAAATGCTACCTGCCCTGCTCTCTTCTTAGTCACGAAGGCAAACTTTATGTGTGTTTTTAACGCATTTCCTTTGATTCAAGATGGCTGTTTTCCTGTGGCCTGATTTCCCTTGGGTTTAGGTCGGTTCTGTTTGCTGACCTAAGAGTTTTCATCAGGGTGTAAAACTCCATCATTCTCTCTGAGACCATGGCAACAGCAGCTCTGACAGCAGCGGGCCGGAAGCAAACAGAATCTTATGAACTCCCAGAGATGAATGTCCGGCAAGTCACACCCCAGGCTGGGAACACACAAACCCGACAGTCCTCTCACTCCACCGTCTCACTTCCCTTACCTGCCTGATACTCCAGAATGAGGTGGAACTCATCTGCTTCCTGCAGTGACTCTGGAGGGACAAACACGTTGTCATCAAGAAGCTCGTGGAGCTTTGGACCAACTGGACCACAGAGGAGAACCTGGAGATGAGCAGGAGGAAGTAAGTGTAGCAGGAAATCTGGGCTTTTTCCCACAGAGTCTGCCTAGTAACCAGTCAGCTACATTCAGGCCAGTTCTATTCATTTCAAAACTGCTGGAATCCAGTCTTTTCTGCTGGAGGTGTGCAGTAAAGGAGCACAGCCATAAGTGCCCAGAAAGGAGAGAACACAAGACCAAGTCACAGTCCTGGGGTACCGATGCAAGGGCCGTGGCCCATCCTCTGTTACGGAATATTTTTGTCCCCTAGAATTCACATGTTGAAGCTCCACTCTAATGGTATCTGGAGCTTTTAGGGCATTTAAAGATTGAATGTGGTCCTAAGAAAGGGAGAAAGGGAGAGAGATCACATGCACACCGGAGAAAGGTCATGGGTGAACAGTGGGACAAGCTGACAGACACCTGCAGGGCAGAAAAACAGACCTTACCAGAAACTGAACGTTGCCGCAACCTCAATTTTGGATTTTCCAGTCTCCAGAACTATTTAAATCACCTAATTTACGGTATTTTGTTACTAGGACAGCCCAGGCAGATCAGAAACACTCTATTCCTAGGGTATTTTTTTTATTCACATCCTGTGTTACGGTTTAGATCTAAACTGCCCCCAAATTCTCCCGTGTGTGGAAGGGGGCTGGACTATGGGGCGCAGTACTCCTCTGGATTCACCCACAGATGAGTTCCTGGCTCAGTGTGCTATCAGGAGGCGGTCCCTGGGGGCCTGCCCTGGAGGGTTCGTTCACTCCCCCCTCTCGCTGCTTCCTGGGTGCCAATGGGGTGAGCACCTTTTCTTCCGCTTCGCCCCTCTGCCGTTCTGTGTTTGCCCTGGAGCCAGCCAACCATCGACTGAAACCATGAGCCCAGACCAGTCGCGGGTGCCGGGCACTTTGTCTCAGTGATGGGAAAGTGACCAAGACACCTCTTGTAGGCAGCAGTCCTGAGCTGCTGTTTGCCCCAAGCTGTTGGATGAAAACAGCTTTCTAAATCTGATGTGGTATACAAAAGAGCTGCTAGGTCACTGGATGACTTAATCTGAGGGATCAAGCACCCTTTTGCACTTAATTATTTACATGAACTGGACAGACCTCCTGACAGGAAAATCAACGAGCATCTTTTCCAAAACCTTCCTCTGCAGCTCCAGTCTGGCTGTCTCCCTGGCTACTCCTAGAAGCTGTTTCACCTCAGCTGCTGCCCTGCAGCCCCAATAATAAGGTGCTGCTTCTGCTGCCTCCCTCAGGACTAGGCCCAGAAACTCAAACCCACCAAATAATGATGGTCTGGGCGAGGACTGAAACAGAAGTCCCCAGAAACAGGATCCCCAGTGTTCAGATCTTATGTGCCTGGCCAGCAACTTCAGGCAGCATCTCCCACGCTAATTAGCCACCTGCTTGTGTACTGTGCTGTACAGAGGTCCCTACGTGCACCTAATTAAGAAATCCCAGCTGCTGGGTAAAAACACACCCCTCTTTTCTGAAAATTCTTGCCCTACCACTTTCTTTTTTTGCTTTTGTTTGAAATATGATTTAATTTTTAAACTAAGTCTTGATAGGACATAGCCCTATGGGTGGCCCTACATCAGAAGGAGGCACAACAGCCACTCAGACCCTAAAACCTCACAAGAACCCAACCCTGTCAGTATTGCAAACAGCTGTCAGTTAAAATGTGCAGTTTACAAAAACCAGTCCACCATAGACTATTTTTGTTCCTGAGAAAATGACCGTAGAAAGCTGAGAAGACTAACAGCTAAGCATATTCCTTGGTTTTCAATGCTGAAAATGGGTACAATCTTCATGTTTTCCTGCTATAAGCTGGAGTGTTTCAGACCTCAGGAGCACCTGGGTAGGCACAGTATTCCTTTCCTCAACGCAAGAACGCTACTTTCTTCCCAAGGAAGTCAACTAAAACAAAGAAGCCATGCAAATTTAAACAGAAAAGGACATAAGAGGCTTACATTTTTTCCAACAAAATTATGTAGAAGAGAAAAAATCAACTATCTACAGTACATGATACTGAGACAAATTATTCAATAACTGTTCATTAATTGCTTGTGTTAAATGACAAGTCAGTATTATTCCAGTACTCAGCTTTCCACCACTTTATTTCTTCTGCCTAATTCTTGGCTAGAATTTTACTTCTGAAATAGTAAGGACTGGATTTGCTCTCCTGCCAGAAACAACAACAAAATATAGACAAAATACAGGAAACAATAGTTTTTCAAAGCACTTGGACATTAGGCAAAAAACACCACTCAATCCCTAAGAAACAAGAGCAATGTAAGTGTTCCTACAGATGCTTCAGCACATTAGCAGGCAGACTCCAGATGTGCAAGAGCTAAAAGAACGGATCACTGGCAGACCAGGACCCAAGCAAGTGGAAAGCGGTCTTTCAGGCAGAACGAGAAACAGACCAGATGGAGATGTGGATCTAGACAAAAAGACAAAGAATGAAGAGCACCAGAGATGGCCAAGCTGGATAAGGACGCAAGATTCTTATCCTTATTATTTAAATATTTTTCCTTTCTTTCTCTTTCTTTCCCCCCCGGTACTCAGGATTGAACTCAGGACCTTGTGCTTGCGAGACAGGCATGGTGCCACTGAGCCAAATCCCTGGCCCCTATTTAAATATCTTTAAAAGATAAAAACTGTTTAAAGAAAAATACTAGCCATGCAGTGTGACATTTATAATTATGTAGAAGAAAAATATACTTCAATAATAGTATAAAGACCAGAGGGGACAAAGGGAAGTATGATATTCTAAAATTCTTACAGGGTACATGGGATTGCAGTGGCCCCTAAAGATAAGACTGTGAGGAACTCTATGTGTATATCATGAAGCCTAAAGCAAGACTAAAATAACAGAGGGTTACAGCCAATAAGTTGAGAAGATAAAATAAAATCATACAAAATAATCCAAAACAGTTCATAAAAAGAGGAAAAAGGAAATACATAAAGGATGGACAAATAGAAAAAATTACGGGTTTATCAAATTACGTTTAAACTTATCACATTGAATGTAAATGGTCCAAACACCCCAGGTAAAGTCAGGAACGGCCCAGTGGATTAAACAGCAAGCCCCAAATATGTGGTATCTACAAGAAATGCATTGTAAAACACAAACAGGTTAAAAACACAAGGATGGAAAATGATTCACCATGCTAACACTAATCAAAAGAAAGGTGGAATGCCTACTTTAATGAAATAGATTTCAAAATAATGATAAAGTGATTAATTTATGAAGAGGATAGAACTTTCCTAAGCATTTATGCATTGAATAACAGCTTTGAAATCCACAAAGGAAAACTAAAACTACACAGGAAATACACGTGTCCACAATTTTTGTTGGGAGAGATGTCAACACCCCCTTTTCAATAATTGACAAATCAAGCAGACAGAAAATAACACTCCACCCAACAATAGGAAGACCTTTAGATTCTTTACATGTTTCCAACTTAACAAGCAACTTCACCAAGACACACCATATTCTGTCCACTATAAATCACAATCAATTTAACAGGAATTTGGTCACAGAAAACACATTTTCTGAGCTAAATGGAATTAAAATAAAAACCACACAGGCATGGCAGTGCATCCCTGTAATCCCAGAACTAGGGAGGCTGAGGCAGGAGGATCACTGCAAGTCTGATGCCAGCCTGGGCTACATAGTGAGTTCAAGGCCAGTCTGAACTATATGGAGAAACCCTGTTTCAAATAAACCCCAAAATAACAACCCCTCCCTAAAGAAACCAAAACCATAACAAGCAAAAACCCCCAAGAAAACAACAACAACAGGGTTTATCTCAGAAATGCAAGGTTGGTTTAACATTGGAAAATCAGTTACCACAAACCGAACTAATGAAAAAACATACAATCACTTCACTAGCTGCAATATCATTAAAATCCAACACCTCTTCTTAATTCCTGGCTAATTACACATGCACACCTTCTTTCCCCCTTGGCACTGGAATCAAATCTAGGACACACTCTCACATACTAGGCAAGCTCTTCCCCAGCCCTCATAAGTAGATTTTTAAAAGGCATTGCTTCTCGCTTGGCCTCCATTTCCCCATTCTACTCAATTTGCCTGTGCAATATTCACCAGGGTTCATTTCTGAGATCCATCACAGCTCTGTATTAAGGGTATGGACTCTGGAGCCAGACTGTTTGGGACCCAAGCCCATCTCTACTTGTCAGCAGGTGGGTGGCCTTGAGCAGTTTTAACTTCTCTACCCCTCGTTCTCTCCAGTTGCAACTGAGGATAATAAAAGTGTAAGGAGTAAATGAGCATCCATGCATCCATCTACCCACTTGTCTCTCTACGTATACCACACAGGACAGTTCCTGGAATATAGCTGGGACTATGGGAGTGTTAGCTATTATTACTGCTTCTGGAAAATACCTCCTTCTTACTCCATACCAGGAAGAATTTTGACAAATTCATCTGAGAGAGTGGTGTCGAGTGGCAAAGTTACAGCTGAGTGCAGCACTGAATCCCTGTTCTGTCATTTACTAGCTATGTTATCACATGGGGCACATTTGCGTCTGGACCTCTTCCCTATCTTTAAAATCCTAGAATTGTTCCATTGTCATGGGGATTATGAGATAAACCTTTTATCCTACCAAGGCCAGACTTTACTAGAAAGTCTTCCAATCAGATGGGTCCCAAGCCCAGCTTCTCCAGAGACCTGGCACAAATGTGGGTCTCAGTCAGGGAGGCCCACAGGAAACTCAATCGCCACTCACTGATGACTTCCAGGGTGTCACCCTGCAGTGGTCACAGTTACTGCTTGGGTTCTGAGGGACCCAGGAAAACTTCCTGATTCTGACGGGAGGGCCTGGGCTTTCTCTAAAGAACTTATGACTGATCTCTTACTCCATTAGCTGGTAAAATTTCCAAAGGTCAGCCCTGCAATTTCTAATTTTCTCTACTTAGAAGTTAATTAGTACTTATAAGGACAATGACTACAAATATCGATTTTACACTCTAGTACATCCATCCCCGTGTACAGTGCAGCTCTGTATGAATTTCCCCCCTCAAACTATGGATCATCTGAGTATTGCTGAATTCATCTTTGGCTTCTTGACCCAAATTTCTATTTTTCTGCTGTTCCCCCAAACCTCAGCCCTGGTCATGGTTCCCTACTCTGCTGTCACCAGCCACAGCCATTCTGCACTCCTCCAGTTCATTTGGCCCAGAACCATCTGTTCAATCTTGTTCCCACCCTGGCCAGCCCAGCCCGTGCCTCCCCTGCACAGCAGCAGGATCTACACAGATGTCCTCCTCCTCTTTCAGCCACTCTAGTCCATCCTTAATCATTTACAGTGTAACAGCAAAACCTCTGTGCAGCCCCTGCCCCACGGACCTCATCTGCTCACAGCAAAAGGAACTGCTTACTCCAGTGATGGCGAACCTTTTAGAGATCGAGGGCCTAAACTGCAACCCAAAACCCACTTATTTATTGCAAAGTGCCAACACTGCAATTAAACCCAAATACTGTGGTTTTAGTTTAGAAAATACTGTTATCCAGTGCTTGGCTGCTGGGCTGAGATGGCTCGTGTGCTGACAGATAAGGCTCTGTGTGCCCGCTGCGGAACATGCACCATAAGTTTGCCACTTAGTTTTATTTTGAACATAGCCATCAGCTTTAATTCTACTTAGACAAACTGATGAGGACTTAAAGACACTGCTCTACCTCCTCTCATTCAGTGGCTCTCGTCTTCACCCTGTGGATCCAGGATCACCAACACCTCAGGGCTGGGCACCGACTCCAGGGCCCGCATGCTCCTTCCATTACACCCCACACTCGTCAGCCCACAGGCCGGTCAGAGTCCTGTGCCCGTCCTCATCGGCTGTGAACGTCTCTGTGTCTCAAGGGTCCTTGCATAGAAGGCCAGGACAGCGACAGCGCCATCTACAGGCTGCTGTGAGGGTCAGTCCGTAAGCGGCCGACTCACAGGGGACATGCACAAAGTACTCTTCCCACTGCCTCCTGCCAACACTTGCTGCCTCCTGACAAGGGCCCAGGGGCTGGCATACAGCAGTGATCCAGAAATGGAATCAAAATCCAAATATTTGTTCTTGCTCCTGAAATTATTAAAACACTAACAAAAGCCACAAATTTTAATCAGGAAATTTCACCTACCTTCAAGTCTGAGTTGGCCGCAAATTTCTGTCCAATTAAAGCTGCATTTCCTCCTACATAGTGCTGTAAAATAGTTGAAGGCTATTAGCCAATAATTTAAACAATTTCATTACCCCAGCTTTGTAATTTCTAATGTTGCAGTCCATTTTCCCCCAAAACATATTTTTCCCCCTCCACAGCTTTATGCTACATTAATTACTGGGTGGTGGCACAAGTTGCCCAATTTTCTTTTCTTTTTTGAGACAGGGTCTCACTTTGTAGTTCAAGCTGGCCTTGAACTCACTATGTAGCCCAGGCTGGCCTCAAGCCTGCAGCAATTCTCTTGCCCTAGCCTCCTGAGCTCTGGGACTACAGGCCCGGCACTACCACACCTGGCTCCCCGAAACATTTTGAGGTGACTTTCAACAAAGGACACAGACAACATTAATAAAACATAGAAGCACACAGTGAGTAATAAGATGAAGAATATACAGATGCTAACCACGAAATCAGTACAATTCCTTATCTGTACACCAGATTTGGCTGAGCTTCCAGGCAGCCAGAACAGGTAGAGAAAACGTGAAAGGTGGGGCTTGGACTCATCTTCCAAAATAAGAACGTGATTGTCATTCTCCTGAAAACCATTCCGTAGATAAACACTTTTCTTTGGTGCTGAGGATCAAACCAGGGACCTTGTGCATGCTAGGCACACACTCAACCATTAGACTACACCCCAGCTGGAAAATCTTTTTGGTTTTTGAAACAAGGTCTTGCAATGTAGCCAGGCTAGCCTTGAGCTTGCAGCCATTCTTCTGCCTCAGCCTCCTGGACTTACAGGTATGTGCCCCTACGTCCAGCTTAAAAGTGAGCCCCCACAAGGGCTTTGCCTGACCCAAGGTTTCCTTTCTACTTCTATCTCCTGCATGCCCCATCTACACCTGACCGGCCCTCCTCCGGCTCTCTGATCAGGACGTCCCCACCAACCAGATCACTCCTCAGCACTCAGCTATGGTGCTGCCTTCTCTTCCCCTCCCCACTGACCACTCAGCCTCCCCCGGCGCCCTCCCCAGACAGGAAGACAGGTCCCTTCTGAACCCCTAGCTGAACAAGCCCCCTAACCCACCCCTGGTCCGCTTGAGCTCTTATCATCTGGGTAGGTGACTGGCTCCTTGAGGCAGGACTGGAGTCTTTTTTTTTTTTTGGTACTGGGAATCGAACTTGGGACCTTGTGCTTGCGAGGCAGGCAGCAGAATCACCGAGCTAAATCCCGGCAGACTGGAGTCTTGTTAAAATAAACATTCAGAAAGTGTTTGCCACTACATTTGGAGAAAGGAAGAAACACACTGATGTGCTGGTAAATAAAAAGGCCTTCTGTGGAGGGAATTCTCAAAGGTAAGAGCCCTAAGCATCCCACGGCTCAGCTGGAGAGAGGACCCGAGCCTGGTGTTTGTTTCCTGTCCTTTGGGATAGGGCCAGTGCCTTGGGAACCTACTGCAGGCAGCAAGGTTACTGTTGATTCTAAAAGCTAAGAAGCCAAGTCTGTAGTTTTACCCAGGCACCACCCTACCCTCCAACAGTCCCGTGGGTGGGCACTGACTAGGCAGCCGATTCCATGACCTCACCCCAGGGCCGGAGCGGACAACCCTCTGGGTGCAGGTGGGACAGGGACAGCTTTCTGTAGACAAATGTATAACTTTCTGTGACAGGGAGGGCAAAATGAGGCCTTTGAATGTGGCAGGCTTAATTACATACTTTATTTAACTATGAAGACTAGAGGAATTTACTAAAATCTCTTGGGGGAAATATTAAGACATCTACAAAATATACACCAGATTTTTCCTATAATGGCCATTAATTGTTGTTTACAGGCCACCTGCCTTGGCTTAAGAGAGTTTGAAAAGGCACCAAACTGCAGTGTCAGGGTATGTACTATAGTAACACACTTTAGGTTTTACAATGTTAAGAAATGACTTGGACAACCGAAAAGTGACAAAGTTTCTGTAGAATTTTAATTTTATTATGAAACAGAAGGCAGAATCTAAGAAGAGAATGCAAAGTAATACCATGATCACAAAGACTGGCAGCAGACACACCATGGCAGAACTATGGAGATTCTCTCCTATTAGCCAGGCGTGGTGGGGCACACCCACAATCCCAGCACTAGGGAGGCCGAGGCAGGGGAATGGTCAGAAGTTCGAGGCCAGCCTGGGCTACATAGTGAGTTCAAGGCCAGCCTAGGCTATACAGTGAGACCTTGCCTCAAATATAAATAAAAACAAAGCTGGGGATGGGAGGAGGCTGGGCTAGGGATGCTTAAACAACCAACCAAAAGTCAGTCCAAAAGGCTGAGGGCACACATAGCAGTAGCAGCAGGAGGAGCAGCTGGCTGCGGTGGCAGCAGCTGTGACATGCTGGGATGTCACAGAAACAGCCACAGCTGGGTTTCTGCCCAGCTCTAGGGAAAATGGATGGCTGCACTGTGGTTCAAGCTACGGGGGTGAGGTGGGGGTGTTGGTCGGGGTGATTTCTGGTGGACATTAAGTAGGAGTCAACAACATTTTGGTACAAGCCCCATCTCCTCAGTCTGAGCATAAATATCCGATATAACCCAGGTCCACGCCGGCCGGTGTAAATAACTGATATAGCCAAGGGCGTACAGGCACAAGACCATTACTGTGTATCCTGGAATCAATGTAGACTGCCACGAGAGCTGTGGGGGGCTAAGTGGCCCAGGACCGCTTCGAGAATGGGCCAGCTAGGGGCCAAGGACTGCTACGAGTGTACAGTGGCTGGGCCGCAAGAGCGGCTAAGCAGCTGCATAAAGGATGCTCCAGCCAGTCCACGACTCTGTGCCTCTCTGGGCTGCACGCATCCCTGCCTGACCCGGTGATGACACCAGCACTGCCTCTTACTCCGCTGAGCTTCCAGGAAGCCCCTGGACCATTTAGGCTCCAGGGTGTTTCATGTCCAGCAGGTGGCTAGGGACCACTAAAGTCCCTCCTGTCACCTCCGTTCTCCATTCTATGCTCCAGTGGTTCTCAAGACGCTGGTACAGACCAACAGTAATCAGGGAGCCTGCTGACAGGTGGACCCTGGTTCCCCTCCAGTCCCTGCTGAGCTGGCCTCCCGGAGTTGGCGCAGGAGTCAGTTTGCACAGCCCCTCCATGAGGGTCTGCTGTCTGCGCAAGCACAGGAACCACCCATCTAGCCCTCCATTTTCAACCAGGGCCCGTTCTGTTCCCCTTTTCTTCCTCACCCAGGAAATGCTGGGCAATGTCTGGCCCGCACAGCTGGGAAAGGGCCATGCACTTAGCAGAGGCTGGAGCACTGCTGAACATTCCCCACTGCCCAGGTCAGCCCTCAGCCAGAGCACCAGTGTCCCACAAGGCCAATCGTGTCCCTGCTCAGGAACCTGCTTGGGCTAGCACCCAGCCTGCCCTCTCCCACACGAAGCCAAGCTAGAGGACTCAGCCACAGTGAGGTGACTAAGTTATCATGAACAAGCACTACAAGACCAGGGGATTAGGAACTGACAGTCCCCTGGATAACATGAAGAAAGGGGGAATTCATTTATTTAGGATTTTTGAGACAGGGTATGGTATGTATTCCAGGCCTCCAAGTCACCACACGGCCAGGCTGGCCTTGAACTCACAGCGATCCTCTTACCCCAGCCTACTGAGCACTGGGATGATGCACATGCACCACAAAAAGGGGGAATTTAATGGGTGACCCAGAATCAAAATTTTAGTAAATATGCTTAATTTCGCTGGCTGAATTAAACTGACTAAAAACAGTAGAGTTAAGAAAACATCAGGGCTGGGGATTTTGCTCAGTGGTGCTGCTGCCTGCCTCGAAAGTGCAAGGTCCTGAGTTCAGTCCCCAGTGCCAAAAACCAAAAACAAACATCAGATACAGCTTTACAAAAGGGCGCAACATCACAGAACTGGATTTCCGGTAGTCGCTGAAGCTGCCTATAGGAATGACAGACAAGGGCTCCTTTCCCACCCTGTCCCAATTTCCTGTTGGTGGACAGACAGACCTGGGCTCCGGGGAACTCAGATGCGACGTGGGCAATGTCATGAAAGGTTTCCTCTTCACTGAAGAAGCGCTCAGCAGCTGCTCCCTGCCCCATGAAGTGGACAAAGGCTTCTTCCAGGTCACTCCTGGAGTGCAGAACAGTGTGGTCTTGTCCACTCCTGGGACTCAGGCCCAGGGCCTGTAGGAGCTTCACACCAGACAGCACCACATCGACACATGCGTTGACTCTGGAGGAGGGGTGAGGACAAGCGAAAAGACATGGATGCAGGGAGGGTTGAGAGAGCCACCCACACACAGGAAACAGCTGAGGTGGTTCTGCCCCTGGCCTGGAAAGGAAGCTTGAAAGGCAGAAGGAAAATGACTTAAGAACTCCATCAGTTCCTGAGGGCTGGTTGTAACTGAGTCAAAACAGCTGAGATCTGATGTTTATCTGGGTACACGCTCTGGATAACAAGAGGCAGATGAATCTTCCATTAACCTAGTTAACCCAAGTTGATCATGTGTCAGGCTGGTTGTAATTTGAGGGCCTACTGTATTAGATCAGAACACAGGACCCTTTTCAAGAATTTGCAGAACTTTCCTAGTTAAAAAAGGACAGATGCTTAGCATTTCAGAACAAAGCTATCATGGTAACAAAGATGCAGCATTTTGGCCAGGGGTGGTGGTGCTTGTTTGTAATCCCAGTACTGGGGAGGCTGAGGCAGGAGGATTGCTGTGAGCCTGTGCTACATAATGAGTTTAAGGCCAGCAGGAATTACAGTGAGACCCTGTCTCAAAAAACAAACAAAAAAATGTAGCATTCGCGGCAAAATGCTTGCAGAGACCAATTTTCTGGATGTGTGACTTAAAATGCAAGTCATTTTAATTTCTCGGAGTCAGTCTTCTCCTGTCTAAAATGACCATGATAGGAGTGCCTAACTCACAGAGCTGTTGAGAAGATAAAGTGAATGAAGTGAACTGGGGCAAAATAAGCAAAACAGTGGTTCTATCCAAAAGCTAAATATCAGCTACCTTCCCTCCCCAGACAGAAGAGGATGGTGGGAAGATACCCCAAATACTCGCTTCAACACTCCTGCTGGAAGCCTGGAACGTGGAGTGGAGCTCGCAGTGGCTCAACACTGGGCAGGTGTTCACAAGACCCACCTGGAACCTTAAAGGGCTGGTAAGAAAGGAGCGCAGCACTGTCTGGCTTCACGGAATGAGGAACAGCTAGGGCTCTGGATAGAATCGCCTGTGTCTGCATCAAGTTCTGTTTCTCTGCTCAAGTTCAGCCCTCCTTTAAATTGGGAGGCTAAATTACTAAGGGAGCTAGATGAGGTCTTCAATGCCCAATCCCCATCCCTGGTCACCTTTACCTCTGCCTACAGATGTCACTCTTGCTACTGTGGCTGACAACCGTATAGGCAGCTCCTCGCCTTGGGGAAGAGCAAGGTCACAGGAGGTCACCCAAGACAGCCCCTAGTGACAAGGGTGACTGGGATTCAGAGAAGGCCGCAGGGTTAGATTTCAGCATAGAAAACATGGTTACAAGGTTTCCCATCTAGTCCCCTTCCAAAATCTCTTGGTTCGGAAATTAATACACTAAATCATTCATGGTGACAAACTGAGAGGAGGAATGCAATTGAGACAGAGGAAGAATTTTAATTAGATGCCTTTCTCGTTTTCACAAGCATGGATTACTTTTATATTGCTGCTCCAAAAACCGGAACCATCACCTCTAGTTCTGCTAAGATGAAGCAACAGTTTGGGTCTGTAAAGTGAGAAGGGGGAAAGTGAGTTTGTGCAATTTATACAGAAAAAAGTAAAAGAACCAAATTCAGCATGTTTTACAACATGAGAAAATCTCAGTGGAACTAGTTTTAAATTAAAATAAAAATGTAACTAATGGGAGGAAAAATTTTCACCCCTCCCTAATCAGGAATACTAGGGCAAAAAAACAGTCTTATACAGGAAAAACAATTAATCTGACAACTTTTTCCTCCATGGTACCGGGTGTGGAACCCAGGCCCTTGAATATGCTAGGCAAGCACTGAGCTACGTCCCCAGCCCATCTGGTACCTTGTTGTTTTGGGCTTTTTCCCCCTGCAAAGTGTCCATGTTTACAGTTTTTCTTTCTCCAACACAGCAACCTTCACGCTATGTTTTAGTTTTCAACTATACAGTCCTATGAAAACAGACCCAAGCACATACAGTAACTTCATCCATATGGAACTGAAGTCTTTCTAGCTATTTAAAGGCATTTAGTTACCAAGGTGCTTATTTTAAACAAAATGCCCCGTCAAGAGGATGCATGCTTATACCTGGAGGTCTGACCTATTGATTCATGTGACAAATATGTATTCCCCACCCTCCCTCCATTCACCTTAGAACAAAAACACAAGAACTATTTACAGTCAAGAGGGAATAAGGTCAACTGACCTTGCCAAAAGAAAAAAACAAAAAAGCTGGCTCCTTTCCGACTGGATGAACTCCCTGGAGTGTTCTGCCTGAGCTGAATACTGACCAGTGCGGTCAGACAGCTTCAGTGTCTATGGAAGCCGGGCTCCACGGAACACTTGGTAGCTATTATGTCCTGTCCACACTCCCAAGGCCACCCACTCCCTGCCAGCCCCCAACCCCGATGTCACTCTGTTATACAACATGATCCATGGAACACCTCTCTCCCTGGTCTTAGACCCCCCACCCCACCTCGCACTGGCTCCTGAGATCCCACCCCCTTGGCAAGCAGGGTGCCAGGCCAGCAGCACCTGGGACAATGGGTTATAGAGATGCACCTGCCTGCCACATGTGCCACATGATTCCACTGTGTGTGTTTTTGAGACAGGGTATTGTTTTGTAATTCAGGCTGGCCTTGAGCTCACTAAGTAGCCCAGGCTGGCCTCGAATTCACAGTGATCCTCCTGCCTCAGCCTCCCAAGTGCTGGGATTACAGGCGTGCACCACGCCTGGCTGATTCCACTTTCAAAGTCAGCTGTCATAAGAAAAGAAACAATCACAAAGTGAGGATCAAGCCTGTGCTATAGGAACATTATTCCAAAATGCCAAAAACCTTAGAATTAAGCTATGTGCAACCAAAACGGAGCATACGACAAGACACCTTAAAGATGTTCCCCATGAATATATCCCCCAAAACAAGTGGCTCTCAGACCATGTCCAAGGTTAGTGAAGTCCCAACATTAGTACAGTACGGGAATTTGCCCAACTCAGTACACAATGGGACCCGCTCCCTGTCTGTGCAGCATTTCCTTGTGTCTCTATGTACCCGGTGCCGTATGTGCCTCTTTAGCAGGAACCCAGGCTGCATTCTGAGACCCTGCCAGTCCCTCCTTGGAATCTGCCACGCAGGAACCTCCCTGGTTCCCCGAAGGTCTCCGTGTTCAGCTTCCTCTCTTCAGCCCACGTGGCTCGGTGAGAGCTGCTCTTGAATTCAGAAGAGATGTTGTCAAAGAATGACTTGGACTTGTCATAGTAGCAGCTGGGCCCCAAAAGGTCTTCCTCTGCAGGAGTCCCGTCACTCTGAGTCACCACAGCCTGGCCCTCCTCTTCCCCCTTGTCCTCTTTAAAATTTAGTTTCTTCTTGAATTCTTCATCAAGTTCCTCTCGGTTGAACTGGGCATTTGCTCTGTCAAAGTCAAAGTCTTCTAAAAACTTGATTGTGTTTTTGCTGACATTAGTTGGCTGGTTTTGCCCTCTGGAGCCATTTCCTGCTCTGCAGCTCCCTGGCCGCTGCCTTCTGCTGCTGGGCTGGGACCAAAGAGCAGCATGCTCAGGGGGTGTGGGCCGAGGGCTGGGAAGCTCACACACAGCGAGATCTTTGATATCACAGCCCCGAAAGATGACGTACTCATAAACCTCCTCTCTCAGGCGAGAAGGCCTGTCTTCTGTGCCCAGGGACCTCACCTTTGCCAGCCCCACGGTGCAGTTGTCCGCATCGATGGTACACAAGATGCCCTTGTATCGGGTCTGCGTCTTGGTGATGAGGTTGATCTTGCTGCCGAGATACTGAGTACCTGAGAAGCCGCTCACGCCTGCAGCCAGGGCGCGCCGCACCGGTAAACCACCAGGTCCTGCTGGCCTGGCCACCGTGTGGCTGCTGGAAAACCTAGGAACCCGGCTCCTGTGCCTCCCACCCCGGGCGGAGGGCAAGGGAGCACAGCTCGGTGCAGAGCCGGGCTGAGGTGCACAGGCTCCAGGAGCCTCGTGCTTTTTTTTGGAGTCCATAGCTCAACAAGATCAAAATAAAACAAAAGCTACTGGAATCACTACAAAAGGTTCAGAACTGTAGGAAAATCAAAAAGGGCCTGGGGCAGCTGGCCCCAGCCACCCTAGATGGGGCTTCAGCACAGAGAAAGGTGGCTGCTGTGGGCAGGTTTTTCAGACAGACACCAGCAGTCTGCACTGCGCCCTGTAACAGATACTTTCTGCTGAGAAGTTGAGGCTGGGGCTGCCACTCCAAAGGCCTAGGCTGGAGGGGCCTAAACTCAACTCAGATTTATCTGATAGCCAATTCGGCGCTGGGAGCACTGCGGCAAAGCTGCAGGAGATTAACCTCGGGCTCACATGCAGTGCGAACGCTGATCTGGCTAGAACAGGGAAGGCAGAAAAACAAGACAGGCCAGGGAAGAGCTGCCTGGCCAGAGCTCAGGAGAGGGCTTCCTTGGTTTCTCCCAGCCAGCGGCAAGTCCCAAGGTCCGATGTAGAACAGAGGAGGGGTCCCCAGTCGGGGGAGATGTGAAGTGGGCTTTGACCCAGTGCCCTGGCCCCCACAGTCTGCAGCCCGGCTCCCCAGATACTGTGCTTCATTCTCAGCATCTGACCGAGCTGCTCCATGTAAAACCCTCTGCAAAAAACACCCACTTTCCTGGCTCTGAAACCCAGTGCAACTTCTTCCACAAGCCTGTCCCTTCCCTAAAGCTCTTCCGAAGGCAACCAAGTGCCCAGGGTATTCTGGATAAGTAGACTCCTTACTGTGTCTCAGGAAGTTTAGACAGACAGTGGCTGCGAGCTCTGGCGATAGAGAAAATAAGAGAAAGCACCCACACTTGCCTCCTGGTTCTGTTCTACAGTGCTAACCCAGGTCCTCAGAGTGCTAAATCCTGTTGTGACTCACAGAGAAAAAGGACTACCTGAGAACCCTGGGCGGATTCTAAATGCCTAGTCTTACAAACCCACAACTCTAACATATTATTTGAATTGAGCACGACCAGTACCTCTAACTGCACTTTAATATAGTTGTTTTAGGTATGGTTTCTTGTCTGTTAATCTGTTTTAATAGCTGGCTAAAATAACCCGCAGGTTCTTCACTTTTAAAAAAAATCTTTTTTTAGCTCAATTTTTATTTTTTTTACCCTTATAAACTATTTTGGGCTTCCCGTGGAAAACCACTTGTGATATTGGTTTTCAAACTGAAAACATTGGAGGATAAGCTTGAAGTTTACATAGAACTTACAATAAAGGCCTTAAAACTTGATAGTTTAATGGTTATATATGATTTAGGTGAATATGTGTTTGTGTTAGCTTTTAGATACATATATACAGAGTCCACCAAAAAATGTATATATCAGGAAAAGAAAAATGTATATTTTAATACTAAAATTATTGAGACATCATGAGATCAATACAAGTTACCTCTGGCCTCTACAAGAGGTGCTCAGCGATGGCCATTAACTTCCAGACATTTATTAGTACAGTGAACTGCTGAAGCGTGTATAATTTTTTTTGTACTCTCTCTCTCTATAGTTTCTCCACAAGTTCTGCTTAGATAAGTAGACACTCATGATAGCCCAATACTTTTATTTGCATGGCTTTTCAGTGAGTTAATAACAGAGGCCTTTAAAGCTGGTGATATATTTTCACCCAAGTTGTTAGTCAATCAAGATAACATTTATCAAGCCAGGCATGGTGGCGCACACCTGTAATCCCAGCACTAGGAGGCTGAGGAGGGAGGTCTGCTGTGAGTTTGAGGCCAGGCTGAACTACATGGTGAGACCCTCTCTCAAAAAAAACCCCAAACGGGCCAGGGATTTAGCTCAGTGGTTCCAGCGACTGCCTCGAAAGTGCAAGGTCCCAAGTTTGATCCCTGGTACGAAAAAAACCCAAAACAACCCGCCCCTCCCCCACCAAATAAAAATATTTATTAAAAGTCTGGTTTTAGAAATACAATGTCTATTGTTGTCTATGTACAATAACTTACAAAGTTTTTTCTTGGTTCAAAAAAATAAAAACAGGGCCGGGGATTTAGCTCAGTGGTTCTGCCACCTGCCCTGCAAGCACAAGGACCTGAGTTCAATCCCGGTACCAAAAAAAAAAAAGTCACGAGTCATCTAAAATAATGGTTAGGTTAAATAAGTAAATATAAATAAAATTACTCCTTATAAATGTTAATAACATCTAAGTTATCTTTATTTATTTCTCTGAGGTATCTCCATTCTGATTTCCACAGTGGTTGGATACTGTTTTTAAAAAAGATAAATTAAAAAAATAAAAAGGTAACAAATTTAGATAAGTTCATATAATTGGATAAAGGTGACTGACTAAACAGTTATTTTATACTAAAGTGAGAATTTAAATATATTTTAAAACCCCAATGGTTCTAGTATAATGTCACCATAATTGTTAAGCTAAGATACTATGTTTGCTCTTGATTTTAAACTTTTCTAGTAAAACCTTACAACTGTTATCTGTTAACATTCTACAGAAATTTGACTTCTAAGACAAGCCAGATTGATAAAAAAAAAAAAGTTCTCTGGCTATATTTTAATTTTATATTTCAAGGTACTCAATATTCAGATGAGATAGTTAAACCTACTGCTCCTACTTTAGTACTGGTATATCTGACCTCCTGGGTGTTCAACAACTAAGGCTTAGAGACCAAAGCTGAAAAGGTAACTGGGAATGGAAACAAAGCTTTTGTACATAGAGAGGGGAGGGGTTTGAGGGGAGGTGGGGAATGGGAAAAAAGAGGCGGGATGTACCATGTATAGGTGCACATTCCCTATGATAAGTGTAATCATTATGTATGCCTAAAATGTACCAATAAATGTTTTGCTATAAAAAGTTAATTGGGCTAAGAATATAGACAATATTTTAGCTCTGGCCCTCCAAGGTCAACAAGGACAAAGGACATAAGGGGACCTCTCTTAAAGGATCCTACAACTAACTCTGGTGAGTCAACCAAACCTCCTGAGAAGGTAGCTTAGCCAGACCCTGCCTCAAAATAAAATTTAAGGGCTGGAGGTGTACCAGGTGGTAGAGCACCTGCCTAGCAATCTACAGTACCACAAAAAACAAACAAACAACTCTAATAACAAAAGATCATAAAATGGCTACTGTTTTAAGCTACTAAGTTTTGGGGTGATTTACAACATAGCAATAGTGACTTTCTGGGGCTTTTTTTGATGTCCTATTCTGGGAAGAATTAGTTACCCTTCTTAGGGACACCAAGACAACTTTGTTTTTACCACTAGTTCAGTAAAGCACTTTTCACAACTTTTATAGACACTAGCATCTCCTGCCCGACCGAAAAGTCCCATTTTGAAGCCCTAACCCTCAATGTGACTGTACCTGGAAGGAAGTAACGAAGGTTAAATGAGGTCAGGACCAGTGTCCACATAAAAGAAAGAGACACAGGAGGGGCATGTGCACAGACTGAAGGCCACAGTGAGAAGCTGGCCATCTGCAAGCTAGAAAAAAGGCCTTGACCAAACACACCAGCCGGGCATGGCGGTGCACGCCTCTCATCCCAGCACTCGGGAGGCTAGGGCAGGAGGACTGCTGTGAGCTCAAGGCCAGCCTGGGCTATACAGTGAGTAAAACAAAACAAAAAAGCAAAACCCCCAATCACATTAGCACCTTGATTTTGGATTATCAGCTCTGGAACCAAGAGAAAATAAATTTCTATTGTTGAAGTCATCAGTCTATGATTTTGTCCTATCAGGCCAAGACAATTACTTCAATAATGAATATACAGTATCTATTTCCTAGTAAATGAAGCAGAGACTTTGCTTTACCATATTTGAGTCCTCAGAAGCTAGAGGTGAATCATGTAGCTGATGGGTATTTGTTCAATGAACATGCATAATGCCAGGGAGGGCAACTAATCTAATAAAGTGAGTGAAATGAGCCCAAACTTGAAAGAGGTAAAAGCAGACACATCTTAACCAACACATGTACTGATTAGCTAACATTTGAGTGCTTTCAAAGGCTGATACCGTACTAGTTAGAGAACATGGCTTATTTCATTCAGTCTTCAGAATAACTTTAACTCTATCTGACCCCTCTTGGCCCCAACATTTACACAAAATCGCAGGGTACTTGAGAGGTTTGTTTTGTTTTTTGTACCGGGGATCGAACTGGGGACCGAACTCAGGACGTTGCACTTGCGAGGCAGGTGTAGTGTCACTAAACTAAATCCCTGGCCCTTGAGAGGTCTGCTTTTGCACAATGCCTTTTAAGTTAGGCATGAAAGGCAAGTGGAACCAAAACAGGGACTAAAGTTATAACGGTAATAATTACATTCCTGGGAGGAGCACAAAGAAAGGAGGCACTGTGATTTGCCAGAACCTTAAATACGCAATGTCACCGAAGTCAGAGGAAGAAAAGTTTCAAGAAGGGCGTGTTAAACTCGCGGAAGGCTGCAGAGGGCAGATCGTGGAGACTAAAATAAAAGGCTGAATTTGAAAATCAGGAGATTCGGCACAGTGGTGCTCTCCAAACCAGATAGCTTTAAGAAACTGAAAGCAAAACATGAAGAAAGTCGGTAGCTAAAGGCAGAGACCATTCATCTTCAGTAAGTTCAGTAGCAAGAGGAAGAATGCCTCAAAATGAGGAAGTTGAAGCATCTCTGCCAAACAACAGTCGCCGAGGAGCAGGGGCTGACAGCTGGGGGTGGGAGGATCGAGCAGGAAGGTCGCATGAAGGGGGTCGCAAGAGGTTTTGCGCGCTGATCCCGTAAGGATGAGGAGCCGGGCCCAAGGGAGTGGACAAGCGCTCTGCTGAGTCCCTGCAGCAGGGTCGACAGCGCCTCGGCCCAGACGACCGGCGCCTCCCCGGGACTCCGGAACCCCGTGGGCCTCGACCTCCCAGCCGCCCAGCCGCCCAACCTGCAAAGCGGACCTCGGAGGCCTGGGACGCCCACACTGTCCGGGGAGGCCCAGAGATCCAGGCCCCCTGGGCACTCACCCCACGGCCACGCGGCGCCAGCGCCGGGCCGGCTGCACGATGAGTGTGTCCCAGGCGGCCGCCAGGCGGCCCTCGGGGGACAGAGGTCCCGGTGGCGCGGGTCCCAGCTGCAGCGAGCTCCAGAGCGAACGCAGCACCGACCCCGGCAGCTCCGGCTCCAGCAGAAAGACGCAGCCCACGGCCAGCGCGAGGAAGCCCGCGCAGGCGGAGCCGCGCCACAGCGCCATGGGAACAGAGGCGCCGAACAGTAGCGCAGGATCCGCTCGGACTGGGCGCGCGCTGACGTCGGCACGCACGTACGTCATACCCGAGCGCCGTGGCCTTTAGGGGGCGTGGTGACGGGCGTGGCGGTGACGTCACGGCACGGACTGCTTCGGCGCAGTTCCGCGGCCCTGAAGGAGGTAGAACAAAGGCAGTGGTGCTGATCCACCTCTGTTTGCACCCAAAAAAGTGGGGGAGGATTAGGTTTGCTTCCCACGTGAAACGAAACGGGCAGATCGTGAAAGGCGCAGGCAGACCTCGCGTTAACATTTGCGATTGCCACGAGTCCCACTCACCATGTTAATCCCCTTCCTTGCGGCCCATTCTCCAAGGTTTCCTAACCCATCTCTTCCCGGCTCGGCGCCGCCTGCAGGAGCTCGGACTCGCGAGAAAGGGTTCTGCTCTCAACCTCTTCGGGTCTTGCTGGAGACCGAAGGCAGCCTGGGTGGACATTCAAGCCTTAAAATCACCTCTTTGTAGGTGCTGTTCCTCTTATCTCAGAGAAGTGAACAATCTTGTGTTAAAACGCAGAGGGGCTATGGACTGGGTTGAGAAACCCTGGTTTCTCTTATTCCCACATGGTGATGCCACTTGAATCCAGCTCTGTCCCTTTGGCTTGACTCTCTGTGGAAGCCCCGGGTAAGAGCCTCTGAAGCTAGACTCCGTGCCATTTCGTTCTCAGGAGTCCCCGTGCCCTGCCTGCCCTTGTGCCCTGGCCTCTTTTCAGTTTTCCACTTCTGCGGACTCCCAACCTGGGCTGTGCATTCAGTTTTCCACTCTGCTGCTGACCTTTGGACTTGGCAGTGAAATTTTATTTCCCTGGCTTTGATCTTGCTCATCAGTCTTTATTCTCCCCAGCCCCACCACACCATCGTGTCCCCATCCCAGTCACTTAATCTTCCCCTTAGTTCACCCCACCCAGCCCACTTGACCCTGGACCCCTTTCAAAGGAGAGGTCTGTACAGAAAGAGGCTTGGGCCCTCTTGGGGAAGAAGAGCCCAGGAGCCCAGAGATGGCGTGAAGATTGACAGCTGAGCTGCCTGTCTCTTCCCTCTCCTAGAGAGACATGCGCGTAGTGTTCCCTGAGCTCCCGCTCATGGCCCTCAGTTGTCCGAATTCCCCACCACCAGAGATGGCTAATCTGGTCCCCGACTCCACAGCAGCAACTCCACTGAAGATCCAGAGACTGTTTGTGCTGAGAATCTGAACCTAGTGCCAGGTGTTTGCTGTTTGTTGGTTTGGGCTGTGGACCTGCACAGTCACACGAAGTGGAAGGTCAGCTAGGGTATTTTAAGAATGTTTCCAGGGTCAAGATTTTTTTTTTTTTTTGGTACCGGGGATCGAACTCTGGTCTTTGCGCTTGCGCAGCAGGTGGTGAAACCACTGAGCTAACTCCCTGGCCGAAGGTCAAGTTTTGAGGGTGCAGATGAAGCACGCTGAGAAAGCCGTGGAGCCGAGAGGCCTGCAGATCTGAGAGGGCTCACAGTTCAGTCTGCTCTCCTCAAAATTGAAACCATGAATGGGCAAAAATGTGCCATCCAAAAGCAGTTTTATGAGGACTTGACCTACAGCACAAGGAAGCCTCCGAAGGATATGGGGGAAGTTGTGTAGAACTGCTGTAAGGAACACAATAATAAGTACTTCTGGGGAGCCTTGTGCCCTTCTCTCCTGTCTCGAAGCTGCATGAGAAGAACATCAGCAGCAAAACAAGGACCTGAGAGTCCCTTGATAGTAACAGGATTTCCTGCACAGGTTGGGAGCAGGGACCTTCTTTTTTGTGGGATGTGACAGCACCCTGGCCTTGGTTTGCCACGTTGGCATGGGCAGATGTGGACTAGGAGGAAGTGCTGAGCCTGGGAACACAGGAAGCACAGAACCCATTAGGTTCCTGGGGGAAATGAGTATGGGGGGAGGTGAATCGAGGTTGTCCCCCACAGCACCCCCTGGATGTCCCGGGCTTCCTGGACACTGCCAGGGGACTGGCCGTGGAAGGAAGCCCTTCAGGGGCCCAGGCTACTTTTGCCTTGTCATCCTTGGTGTGACGGCACATAGGCTGGGGACATCCTAACAAAACCAGGGTTGTGAAAGACAGGAGAGGTGGTGAATGGCTGTTGCAGTGCAATCAGTAATTCACACTTTAAGGGGAATAAATTGGGGGTTCAAGGCTTCATTTCAAATCTCTATTTCTACTACCCACTGTGTGACCTCAAGTAAATCATTTAATTCTTAAAGTCATTTAAATTTTTGGTCCCTCAGTTTCTATACCTGCAAAATAATTCCTACTTTACAAGGTTGAGGGAAGCAGCAGTATCTTAGGAGAGCCTAGCACAGTGTCTGCGTGCTTTGATCTATATAGATATAGTTTTTATTTCCATCCAGTTCTGGCTCATTACTGCCATGGCCCTCATTATCTCCAACCAGACTAGAATAATGTTAGAGCTCTGCAGGCCTCAGGAGCAAGCTTCAGAAAGCAAAGTCTGTCTGTCTGTCTGTCTGTCTGTCTGTCTTTCACCTTTTCCTCTCCTCCTTTCAACACCTCCCTCATGACAAGCTATAGGAAATGGAATTTTTCTTCCCCAAGGTAGGTCATAGAAACCCAATATTCCATCGCTTTGGAGCCACTGGCCATAGGTGAGTTCTGTGATCCATCTCATCTGATTAGACTCTCAAAGGATAAGACCCTCATTTCAGAAGCAGTCTGGCCCCTTCCTTCAGGGAAGAAAGGTTGAAGAATCTGAACATACAAGCTCTGCTGGGGTTCCCTGCTGTGTAGTAGCATTAAACCAGACTCTGTCCAACCACATTCAACACAGGTGTGCACAATTCAATCATGCCTGTGCATGTCACTGCTGTAAAAACTCAAAAGGATCTGGGTGTAGTGGTGCATGCCTATAATCCCAGTACTTGGGAGGCTGAGGCAGGAGGATCCCTGTGAGTTCAAGGCCAGCCTAAGCTATGTAGCAAGACCCTGTCTCAAAAAACCAACAAACCAACAAGCAAATAAACACCAAAAGGATGGTGTAATCCCAGTACTCAGAAGGCTGAAGCAGGAGGATTGCCAAGAGTTCAAGGTCAGCCTGGGCTACATAGTGAAATCCTACCTCAAAAACAGCAACACAACCAACAACAAAATCCCATAGAAGGAATTAGTAAAAGTAAGGATAGTGTTTCCCCAAGTTCTGTGGGCAGATCTCACAAATCAGTCAAACTTGAGGAGGGGGACCTGGGAACCCCAATTTGTAGCCAGTTGGCCGGAAGTTCCGGAAGCCTGGAGTTGTGACAGTCTGGAGTGGGGACAGTTTTGTGGGACTGAGCTCTCAGCCTGTGGGATCTGGTGCTGTCTCCAGGAAGGCTGTGTGGGATGTGAATCAGGAGGAGTCTGGATGGTGAGTGAAGCAGAATTGATGGCTTGCCTGGTCTATTTGTGTATCCCATATTAGCACCTTCTGGGCTCGATTGATATCTGGTAATTAAATGATTTTGCCTTATTTTTTTAAGAGCATCTTGGCTATTTTTGGCCCTTTTTTTCATTCCTATATATATATTTT